TTTTGATTTGTCTACACGGTGTAGCATTATATGATCCTATGACTTGTAAATGGTCCTCAGTTTTATTTTACAATGAAATTGCCTACGTATATTTACTTTAAGGAATCATTCTATACAACCTGTATATAACATTGCATATTAATGATATCTGATACATATACTTATTATTATTATTATTAATGTTTAATTTAAATTTTTTTGGGAAGGGAACTGCAATTTATTTTCTATTTTGCCAACAACAACAAACCTAAAAATGAATGTGTCGGTAATATTCTCTAACTGAACTTGAGAAAAATTATCTGCGATATACTATTAATTACATGTTAATAGCAAACAGAAGTTTCAATAAAGGGTTGTTGAGATACATTTTGCATTTATTGTTGTTGTTGTTGTTGTTGTTGTTTTCTTACTTGCGTACATGCAAAAGGCTGATAGGAGTCCCTTGGTGTTATTATTGAAGGTGTTTCTAAAGTGTCGCTACACTTTGTATACAGAACAAATCTGAAAAACGAAGTGCATGACGTCGCCAAAAGAACTGTGATTAAAAGTAATTATATTAGATGCAATAGTCAATGACATAATCTAACGCTGTTTTGTAGGGGTCGGATGGGGGTGGAAAGTACCAATCAAAAATGTATTATAACAGGTGTTGGAAATGTCCAGAACTATCTTCAAGATATGACTGTACATTTTAAGGACTTGCTTGGATTTTCAGGATCCTATCTAGGATTTCTATATATGTTTCTTCAGCCACAACAGGCCTACCAGATTTTCCGTAAGATTTTCCGTAAGATTTTCCGTAAGGAGAAACTTATTCCACAAATTTCTAACCTTAAGGCAATAGGAAGGTTCTTTAACAGGGAATCTTACTACAAATCTTTTAACAGCCATCCAAGTGTATCGACCGTCATTTCAAAATACGTATTCAACCAAAGACATTCTTTTTTCCCCGTTGATAACACCATTTTGTTTTGAATGCAAAGAATTACTCCAGCAGATGACGACCATTCACTGCATACTGCTTCACGGTTGACTGTGGAGCTCATTTTTGTTTGAAGACGTCGTGTACTCCTTTATTTAAAATTTCTTCTGCAAACAAAGTGTTGTGAAACTATACAAAAACCCTTTATTCCCCCTGGGACACATAGGACATGTCATTTTTAGATTCATATTTATATGAATCAATCTTTATTAAAAAGTTTACTTCCCAAACTTGTATCTGGTATACATGTTAGGCTGGGTTGATCTGAGAGCCAAAATCGTCAACAAAAATCCAGCTTGATAAGGATTCAAAATCTAGTCATCTGTACCGACAGTGCAGCGTCTAGCCACTATGTTATCGCGGTTCTATTTATTACTTAGGTTAGTTTTTTTTTTTTTCGAGCTGAAATCCCTGGGGTGGTTTGGCGAGTTTACAAATGGGCTTAGCTGAATGAATGAATGAACGAAGGAACGAACAAATGAATGAATTAGTGAATGAAAGAACGAATGTATGAATGAATGAATGAATGAATGAATGAATGAATGAATGAATGAATGAATGAATGAATGAATGAATGAATGAATGAATGAACGAATGAATGAATATATGTGTGAATGAATGAATGAATGAATGAATGAACGAACGAACAAATAAATAAACGAATGAAAGATTAAATGAATGAATGAACGAACGAACGAACGAATGAATTAATAAATGTTTGTATGATGAATGGATGAATGAATGAATGTATGATGAATGAATGAATGAATGAATGAATGAATGAATGAATGAATGAATGAATGAATGAATGAATGAATGAATGAATGAGTGAATGAATGAATGAATGAATGAATGAATGAACGAATTAATGAACGAACGAATGAATGAATGAATGAATGAATGAATGAATGAATGAATGAATGAATGAATGAATGAACAAATGGATGAATGAATGAGCGAACGAACGAACGAATGAATGAAGGAACGAACGAACGAATAAACAAATGAATGAATAAATGAATGAATAAACGAACGAACGAATGAATGAATGCATGTATGATGAATGAATGAATAAAGGAACGAACGAACGAATTATTGAATGAACAAACGAACGAAGGAACGAACGAATGAATGACAAAATGAATAAATAAAGGAATGAATGAATGAACGAATGAATAGATGCATGCTCCGAACTCTTCTTTAGCAACCGACCAAGAGTTCGACATGCTATTGGTACCAGTTGCAACGTGATCGAAATTCCGGTCCCCCCTCCCCCTCTTGATCCTGCTGGTTTTAATATTGTTACTAAGTTCATGTATGGTTCCATAAATGCCTCATGTATACAGTAATCACTGACCCGATTCCAATATAACTGGTAATAGAAGTACTAGTAATTTAAACAACGGCACCCTGTTTAAACAATCCGGATAAGCGTTTTGTTATGGCTCGGCAGATCAGGCTGTCAGACTTGACCTGCAGCTGGTCTAGAAGGGGAGCTCCGACACACTGCTTTTGCAACTTGCTTTATTCCAAACGTACTGGTGTTACAATTACTTTGGAGTAAACAAGGCAGTCCGAAGGAAGGATGAGGTTTGAGGTTTGAACAACGGATCAACATCATGGCACAGGGGTACTAACCCATAAGTGTTACGTTCACTGTTAACTCAAGTCTGAGTCCGAAGACGCTCAGCACAGTTCACTGGGTCTGTAGCACCGACGAGGATCCTGAAATACTTTGGATATTTTGCCTGGATAGCTTCGTTAGGCTACTCTTTTCGATTTCTTATTGCCAAGGAATGTTTCAAGTGCGCAAAATTGCACACGGGCGTCCGATCTCACTACCCAGAAACCAGAGAGAATTACTAGAAGTCCAAGTCCACGAGAAAAAATCCCAGTCCTTACCGGAGATTGAACCCGGAACCTCTAGCACTCGAGGCGGACACCATGCCTCAAGACCACGCAGCCCCCTTAGGGAAAGATCATGATGCATGGGCAACACATGGTCTGTACGATGCTGCCCAGGCTTTGTGCCAAGGAGAGGAGGCACTTCATCGCTGCCCTAAATGGTTTCGGAAAGAAAGATAGCAGTACACGAGTCATCGCTATGGGTTGTGAGTTAAATGACTGCCAGCACAATACAACATTGAGAAAGAAAGACTCAAACAACGAAGGTTAGGATATCGCATCTTCACTCAGATTTGACTACTACTACGGGTATCGTCTTGGCCAGGAAACAGCTAGGGAAAATGTCAGATATTCTGTTCGACCTCCTATAAAGTGTTCACCGCGTATAAATTAAGGTCGGCTATAACTGATGGGCCGCAGGGCTGATAACATCAGCTTGATGTGACGTCAACACCCCGGGCTAACGACAACTCCCGTTGTAACTCTGACCGTCCCGTTTTTTTTCGGCCGTTTCCTGAGTATTCCCAAAATTATTATAAGAGTAAGTTCGAGAATAGAAAATGTATATAGGTATATACGCATAAACAAACTAAAAGTTAACACGAGAAAAAATAATTTAAAAATAATTAATTAAAATGGGCCTAGAGATGGCCTTATATGACCCTGGTGTTGTTTGAAATCGCGCACAAGTAGGAATGTTGATCAGGGTTTAACTTTCCTAATTAGAAAAGATGCTGGTGCTCACCCCCCACCCCCTTCTCCACACACACACACACACACACACACACACACACACACACACACACACACACAAACTTTAAAATGTCGGTACTGTGTACCGCTGCGTATCGTCAGGAACAAAAAAGAATTCAATTCAATTAACTGTGACTAAAGTGACTGAAAAGCTTAAAAAGCCTGCCACAGGAATCACAGGGATGCAGTTGCAGTAAAAAGCACACATACACACACAAAAAATGAAAAAAAAAATAAATAAAATAGAATCAGTGCTCTCAAGATTATAGCAGCAATGGAATGGAACAAAGAATACTGTTCACGATGATCCAGTATGTAATCCGGTCGGTGATAGATTATCGACTTGGAATGCTAACCGTATCAAACAGTCAGCTGATGAAACATGAAAGCATACAGAATGAAACCATGCAGGTAATTCTGGGATGTACAAGAGATACCCCGGTAGAGTGTATGCGATATATACTTGCACTGCTGGTTCTGCAAGCAAAGTCATCTCAGACTAGCTGCAGAGCTGAAGCACCTCTTGCATGAAGCCCTAGGTAGATCTAAGGGTCACAGACTAAAAAGAGGAAGGCCGGTTCTGCACCATTTGGTGGTGAATTGATGTATAACAAGCTTGATGTTGGGAGGGCCCTCTGGGAGCGAGTGAACAGTGCGGAAGCGCAAAAATAGATAATTAATTACGGTCTGTGGAGAATGGCATTGCGAGGAGTTACCAGGGGATCTGCCCGACGCTAAACACTCAGGGGAAGGATGAGACGAATATACAATCGGACAGTTACTGGTGCCATCTGAATTTAAACTCTTCGTTTGCTGCTGAAGATGGGGACGAAGCGCTTATGCCTTATAGGGAAAAGGGGGGGGGGGTGTCCCGACTGCTTTGAAGTCGATTCTTAGTTCAACATTCAACCTGCTCTGTGAGTCAGGCAAGAAACCAACAATCTGCAAACAAATAAGTCACATCTGTAAAATTGATATGCACGCAACACTCAGTATCTAGAACAAGACTGAAGTCTAGAAGTGGACGAACAAACAGAACTTTCCGCCAGAGTTTACAACAGGTGAACTCGAAGGGAAGACTCATATCTGCTAGATTCGGTTAAAACACCTCACTATCTGGTTGCTACAGACGCCTATTTTGTAATAACTTTGTCGTAAATATTCCTCCCACATTTAATTGTCCTCTTTTATTGCCACATTGTTGCGTATACTAAACCATCATAAATTATATCAGTATAATTATGTATGATATAAAATTTATAAAAATGAGCTGAAGAAACGTTAACTGCAAAGACCTTATTAACATTATTTATAAATTACGACGCACGGAAACAAGCTTGTCTGCCTGGACGATGGCAAGATGGCGACATCTGTGACTTTACCGACGTTCCACACAAAGACAGGTTCTCTAGTAGCTCTCAGCAACAACAACCGAACTGCTCAAAGGAACCACCCCACACAGGAGTTTAACAATGGAGTTGTTTTGAGCGCTGAGCCGTTGCGTGATAATCAACTTTTTGAAGTAAAGATTGACAAAAAGGTAACGCCGCTCTTTTACGTTTTTTCGGTTTTGTCTGCTGACTGAACTTGACAGTTTGCATTGACTGCTGTTGTGATGTTGTTATTTATAAAATGTCTGATTTATAATATATGTTATCATACATTTGAGGGAGATAAGGTTGAGAAAGCTTCGAAATCGAAAGATAGCTATGTTATGTGTGTAAGTCATAAATAGTCAGAGACCGTTTTTTTAAATCTTTATTTTGGTTAAGGTAGGTAAGGATAAGACGTCGTCTGTGGCTTAGGCGTTGCGAACAAGCTTCGTAATGTCAGGGTGCCGTGTTCGAACTCAGCTGCGGACGGTTTGTCTTGCTGTAGTACAAATCTGTTCTTTGTGTACGTTGATGTCACACCCAAGTTCGTCTTTAGTTTGCTACAGGAGTGGAATGAAAATGTATAGACGAGGAGAAAGATGGTCATGTGGATAGTGATGATGATGATGTCGTAGATAGCTCAAGCAGAAGACAAAATAAGAGAAGCATGGGCTCTCCTCCGAACTTCTACCCCTGCATTATGGCGGCCTGAAATATTCGTTCGGGGCTCAGTTCTATTAAAAATATGCCGGCTCCGTATAACGAAACAAATACTCTAACAGGGTCTCAGCTATATGTTACTTGCGGACCTGTTTCTTATTATTTCTGATTATCTGACAATTCTAAGAGGCGCAACACTGCAGACGATAATAGCGACCGTTGACACTTTCCATTGTCGGACTTTCTGCCAATGAACAAATCGCGGCAAATCAAGGATCGGCTCGGAAAAACGAAACAAATGCTCTAACAGGGTCTCAGCGATATGTTACTTGCGGACCTGTTTCTGTGACTGTGCCTCATCGCTGACAGTTTCACTGTGCGGCAAGGATAGGAGCTAAACTAGATGGCTGGGACTCATGAGCAGCAGCTACCGCATCTCCTGCAACTTCTGCCAATTACTTTGCTCGTGAGTCCCAGGCACCTAACGGTGAGTTTAATCACGTTTTGCGCATGCCGACAAGTCTGACATCTACCACTGCTAAACCCTCAAACAGAAGAACAGTATTGCTAATCTGCTTGGGAATGCGTGGTCTACCCGCTATATCGCTTTCATCGCCTGTAATGTCTCAAAATTGTCAACGGTCGCTTTTATCGTCGTCTGCTAGTATCGTCTGCAGAAACGCTCGACATTGTCACTGGTCGCTTTTATTGTCTGCTACTATCGCCTGCAATGTTGCGTCTCTTGAAATTGTCAAGTAATCCTTGTTTTGCCGCAATTTGTTCCTTGGCATAAAAGTCCGCATTTTTCATTGGACTGAACCCCGAACAGATTTTTCAGGCCGCCATAATGCGGGAGTAGAAGTTCAGAGGAGAGCCAGCTGAAGCATGCATGCTGGAGAACATTGGGCAAGGAGAGGAATGGGTTAGAGAACCAGCGGGAAAGTCTGACCTGTGTAGGGTTACGACAACATTGGGCTGGGTGTGCAGAGAGTGGCCTGTGGGTGCTATGGAGGTTGAAGTCTTACAGTTGATTCACGACAGTTCACACCCAGGTGATCTATCTATACAGATGGTTCGGCTATCCTCCGAATAACGGTCCTAAATTATCAAGGTGGAAAATATACCCTCAGGGCCTCAGTCACGTGTCAGTTACGCACTTCCGTTGTCTTAAATTTCGTGCTTCCGGTGACTTCCCCCACCGCGGTGTGGATTGGGGCTAATCCAGATGGCTGGGACTCATGAGCAGCAGCTACCGCATATCCTGCAGCTTCCTTCATTTTATTTTCTCGTGAGTCCTAGCCATCTAGTTTAGCCCCAATCTACGCCGCATGAGCGGCGTGGGGGATACTCTCGGCGGTGGCGGTAGTTCGCGATTCGGCGGTGTCGTTATAGTGCCCGGAAGTGCGCAATTGACACGTGACTTAGGCCCTGTTAGGGTATATTTTTTGCCTCAATAATTTAGGACCGTTATTCGGAGGATAGCCGATGGTTCAGTTTTAAGAGGAAAAAGAAATGCCTGGGGGTTTGTAGTGAAAGCCAATGGAAAATCTTAGGTGCAGGACAGCCTAGGATATGACACCACAACGTCTAGCATGCGAATGGAGGTGAAGCCGGCAACTACAGCTCTCCGATTGCTCTCCGGTGGCTAGAGTACAAAATGTTTTCCAGTGGACACAACAGTTGCCTGTTTATTTCATGTGAGAAGGTTGTTTGAGTCTTCAGGACCATGTTCTGGGTGGGTTGTGAGCATGTTGAGAAAGGTGAAAAAAGGCATGCTTCGTGCAGAATGGCAAGCATCACTTTAGAGGTCCCGGATAGTTAGCATCCTTTGGATATTTTCTCCAGGTCATGCCAGTGTGTTGGGAAATGATTAGGCAGATAGACTGGCCAGCTCTGCACCACTTAGTGGTGAATTGAGTTATAACAAGCTAGATTTTTTTAGGGCTGTTTGGGAACCAGTGAACAGTGAGAAGGCACAGATAGATCATTACGGTCTAGTAGTTACCATTGGATTTGGCCGGCGCTCAACACTCAGGGGAAGGATGAGACAGATATGAAATCAAACAGTTACTGGTGCCATCAGATTCGGTACTCTTCGCTTGCTGCTGAAGATGGGGACGGAACACTTTTGGGAGTGTCTTGAGTTCTGTGATGTCGATTCTTAATTCAACATTCAACATTTGGATGGGTTGTGTTCCAATGAGTTCTAATGGCTACCTTGATGTGGGTTTTATTTTCCTCACAGGTGAACTCCTGGAGTGGCTCAATTGAAATAGGAGTGACTGTCTGTGATCCAGGCAGCCTGAATTTTCCATTCAGTGCCACTGGGTTTCGAGATGGGACTTGGGTCATGTCTGGAATGTCAATTCTCTGTGATGGTCACTCCATGATTGAGGACTATGGCTGTGATTTGGACCAGTTATCTGAGGGTGATAAAGTAAGTTCAAGACAGGAATGATTTTGGGTAGTTGTGACTGACTGCAAGCAAAACAGAAGAGATAATATAGGAGAAATTACAAGATTATAGAAACTATAGGAATACTTCATTCGTTCATGGATTTTCCTATTATGCTATTATATGTCGCAAAGGACTGTCATTCTATTTCTTCATTTCATTCTACCCTGTGTAATCACTTCGATATCATGGGTAGGATCCAGTGGAGCACCTTTGGCTTCTCTCGTCTGTGTTCACCTTAGCGTTTCTCTTGTCTGTCCTTGTTTACTCAGTCCATATTTCCCATTTCATAGCCTGTATGGTGACTCTGTTTATCTCTGCTCAGTATGAGTTCGGTATAGTGCCATCGTGTTTGTCTTACAGCTGTTGATACTAGTGGAACAAGACTCATCATTAAATTCATTGGGAAACAGAGACTGAAATGGTTCATGTACTTGGTGAGAATGAATCCAGAGTTGCCCGCATTGAGGGCTTACAACATGAGAACGGAAACACCAAATGAGAGGGAGACCTAGAAGGATATGGATTGAAGGAGTCAGTGCCAGCCTGAGCCTTCATATTGTCACATCAGAGCAAGTAACCAAGGTTACCATAGCTCGGCTACCTATCTTCTACTGAACTGCAGCACAAGCAGATATTGGACATTAGAAAGAAAAACACAGTACTGACTCCTTGTATCAGCGATTGCAATTCTATTAGCTACTTGATGTCAGCTACCTTATGTATTTACTGCATGTGCATGTTTCTGAATTTTACCAGGACTAATTGTTTGTTCACCTGTTTTTACATTTTTAAATGGGACATTGAGGGACATTTTGTGGCATTTTCACTGGCACAGAAATGAAGCAATTACGGAGTGACGCGGCTGCGATGAAGTTTAAACCCGAACTTCAACTGCAACCATAACTACAGTTTTCGATTAGCCTTTATTGAAGATCCTAAATTTCTAACAGATTAAATTTGAGTAAGGCAGAGAGGAGTTGACTGTGAGCCATAAATGACATTTAAATTGCATACGATAATCTTTTTCTTCGACTTTGTTCATCGGATGTAACCTCTGGTGGAAAGTCCTGGCTGTTTGTCCATTTGAACTTTGTCTTTGTGAGTTTTGCATGTACATCTGTTTTATTGGCTTTCTTGTGTGCAGTTGTTTATTCCTTGCCACTCGTTCAGATGCACTCCGACTTCGAAGGAAGCTCCCAGTTAGTCGACTCCTGCGATATACTTGTTAGAGAAGCAGTGGGTCTATTCTTGTAAAGTACACATTTTCATTGTGTGAAACATATTAAATATTGATATCATTGGTGGTTATCTAAAACACACCTTCTGCTTAGTGTCATTAGGTTAGTCATTAGTTGATGATGGTGTGAAACACACATTTTGACTGCTGGCATTAAGTTAGTGTGATTAATTGATGGTTGTGCAAAAACAGATACCTTATATTTCTGTCATTAGAAGATGGTTGTGTAAAGCACATGCTGAATTTTGGTGTCTCATTAGTTGATGGCTGTGTAAAACACATATTTCAGGTTGGAGTTATGCGCACATCAGATGCTGTTCTCCACTTCTATGTCAATGGTATCGACCAGGGACCAGCTGCCACAGGCATCCCTTCATCTGTCTACGCTGTGATTGATCTCTACGGGAAATGTGCCCAGGTCACTATATCTGAACCCAGCTCTCTACCAGCCAGAGAAAATTGTGAGTTTCTTCTACATGTCGTTTGAGGTTTTGAACAACGGATCATCATCATGGCACATAGGTGTAACCCATAAGTGCACTGGTGAGGATCCTGAAATACTATGGGTAGAACTCAAAATTTTGCCCAGGCAGGGCCGTTAGGCTACTCTTTTCGATTTCCAACTGCCAAGGAATTTTTTTTTACCTTCGCAACAATGCACACAGGCATCGATCTCACTACCCAAAGACCAATTAGGATTACTAAAGTCCAAGTCTATGTGAAAAATCCCAGCCCTTACCGGGGATTGAACCCGGAACCTGTAGCACTCAAGGCGGACACCATGCCTCGAGACCATGCAGCCCCTTCTACAGGGTGTTTGTAAAGTCTCACTACACTGTGTATGTAGAATAAATTTGAAAAATTAAGTACATGACGTCACACACACAAAAATTGTCTCTACAGTCAATCGTGAAGAAATATGCAGTGAATGTCTATCATTTGCTGGAGTAATTCTCTGGACTCAAAGCATAACTGTTATTAATGGAAGAAAGAAATATTAAAGATACATCTTCATTATGAAGAGACGTATACAGTCATGTCTTATAGCCTGTGGTGGGCATTGCCAACACTTGTTATAATGAATATGTAATTGGCACTCTTTTCCAGTTCCCGCAAAACAGTATTTGACCATAACAGTAACCATAGTAACTAATTTCATGACTTTGTAAACATGTTTTTGTTAGATTTGTTCTGCATACAAAGTGTAGAAAACTGTACAAATACAGTGAAGATGTTGGGAAATGGGGTCCGTAGTAGCACTTTTTAGGTCTTGATCATATATGACTGAGCTATCGTATAATAGTAGCCAGTACAACCTGTCTTCTATTAACGTGGAATGTTGGGTGGCGTATATCAAACGGGACATCCCATATTGTGCCAACAGCTTCGGACGGAGGAGGACATTGGGAAGGATACTAGCCTTATCCAAAAAAGAGGAGATGCAACCTGAAAACTTTATGTTAAAGCAGGAAAGACCAGGCCCTAAGCAGCGGGCAGTAGTCTTGGAGGAAGCTGCTATAGGCAGTCACTCAGAGCACCGCTCTTGTGATCCGGCAGCTTCTGCAGCATGCTTTCTTCCAAACATATTGATGTTACCTTTCCTTTGGAGTAAACAAGGCAGGCTGAGAGGGATCGTGATACATGGGCAACATATGATCTCGGTAATACTGCCCAGGCCTTGTTCTGTGGAGAGGAGGAGTTTTATCCCAGGCCTTAAAAGGTCTCAGAAACACTGGTCTTGCTAGTCACAGTGACCGTCGCTATGGATTGTGAGTCCCATGTCTCCTCGCAGCATAGTATAACACTATTGTCTGGAAAGGCAAAAAAGTGCTAACTAGTAGCACTTCGGCTACTTTGTAGGCTTGAAGGTCTTACGCTCAGATTTACACCAGAGAAGATTTTTAAAAATATATATATAATTGACCTTAGCTGTATGGTCAGGCAAGCTTAAAATGGGCACCAGATTGTTGACAACATTATGCATTAAGTGACGATTGGCCTTTTAAAACTATAGGTCTAAAACCATATACTTGACATGCAAATAGTGGAAAATTAATCTTTATTTTAATTTGTATTTTACTACCCATATCAACATATGTATCCAGGAAGCCACACTTGTATAGTAACTAGATGCTCGTCTGCAGATCCGAAAGGTCGTGGGTTCAGATCATGACAGCTGTTTTTTTTCTTTTTTCAAAAATGACCATGGATCCCAGGTCGACCCCCACCTTAAATTTCTACCAGCTAAAGTCATGGGACTCAGATCAACGAATTACTCTTTGCAGATGACCAGGCCTTGATAGCAGATACAGCCATGAAATTGCAACAACATCTAACATCCATGAATGAAGAATGTAAAACAAATAATATGAGAATCAACACTGAAAAGACAGAAGTAATGTCAATAGGAAAAAAGAAGACAGAACTAAACATATCAATAGAATACAAAGACATTAAACAGGCATCTGAGTTTAAATATCTGGGGAACTACATTTACCGAAGATGGGAAATTGGATAAAGAAATTGACATTAGATGCAGTAAAGCAAACCAAGTATTGGGACAGCTAGCCCCCCTCTTACAGCATAAGACAATCCCAGTCAGCACAAAGAGACATCTTATTCAAAGCATATTCTGTGCTACCAGTGCCAAACATGGTCACTCACAACAAACCATAAAAGAAAATTAGTAACCACGGAAATGAGATGTCTGAGAAGGGCTGTAGGAGTGACCATAAGAGATAAGATCAGGATTGAGATCACAAGAGAACAAGTCGGCACAGAACCAATTCTGGATTACATACAAAGACAGCAAGTGAAATGGTTTGCCCACTTAGAGAGAATGCCTTGTGACACCATACCATACAAAGCATACATGGAAAGAGAAGAAGGACGTAGAGCACAGGGTAGACCAAGAACAAGATGGAAGGATAACATCAGAGAAACTCTACAACAGCACAATGTGCCTTTGGTCGAGGCAGCCAGAAGAGCTAGAAACAGAACCTTATATCTCCCTCGACACCCACAGCGGTAAAAGAGGAAGTGAAGAAGAAGAAGAAGAAAGTCATGGGAGGAGGTAAAGGTGGCCGGCATGATGTTGACCACATGACCTACTGAGTGCTGATTCATCTATCTTTTCTTCTTCTTCACTTCCTCTTTTACCACTGTGGGTATCGAGGGAGATATAAGGTTCTGTTTTTAGCTCTTCTGGCCGCCGCGACCATAGGCACATAGTGCTGTTGTAGAGTTTCTCTGATGTTATCCTTCCATATTGTTCTTGGTCTACCTCATGCTCTACGTCCTTCTCTTTCCATGTATGCTTTGTATGGTATGATTCATCTATACAATATTATTTCTAGGCCTACATGCCCAATATGACTGAAGACGGGGATAGGTGACCTTGATATTTGACACGTGTATCCATAAGATTTGTTTTCCCATTCTCCTCAGCCGTGATGAACAGCAAACTAACAAATGAAATAGCCCACGAATTTCTGAGGGAAATTTCCAACCAGGTCGCCCATACCTTGGCTGCTGAGCAAGAGACCAGCTGTTCCGATGACGAGGCACAGTCCCGTGATGGTCTCCGATTTCACGAAAGGTGCGGCAATCTAGTCAAGCTGAGCAACAATCGCAGAACTGCTGAACGACGGAGACCCCTGGATGAGTTCAATAATGGGGTAGTGATGACAAATCGACCAATCAAGGACAATGAAGTTTTCGAGGTAGATGAATGTTTTCTTTTTATGGATTTGTTTTCTTTTTGTGGATGTGTATTAGTTGCAATATTTTTGCATTTTTCTTTCCTTCCATCCAGTACTTAGGTAGTCAATTTGATAGTGAAGGAAATATAAAGAAAAGAAATTATGACACACATTGGCAAGGCATCTGCAGTTTCTAATAGCTTGAATACAATATATGGAACTCAAAATTGTATAGGGTAAGATGAATAGTTCAACAGCTGACAGTGGATACCATCAGTTTGGAACTTTCTGCTGTCTGTTGAGGAGGGAGATATGGAGCATAGGGGCTTTTCCTGAATGCTGTGATGTCGAGTCTTCACTAAGATGAAGATCAGAGTGGGTACACTGTAGGTAAGCTTCAGTGAGCAGACGGCACACAGGTTAATTGGATCATATATGACTTGTTGCACATCCAGCCAGTGTTGCCACTTTTCTTTGACAAAAGACATCCAAAATGGAGTCAAAAAATATCTAAAAACATCTGAATTTGCGTGGAAAACATCTAGAAAAAACATCCAAATGGAAAGAGTCACAAATTACATAGCAATTGATATGACTTATCATATAGAATCATGTCCTCATCTTTACTAAAGTCTGCCTTACAAGATCCACATGATAAACTTAGCTTGGATGATGAAGTTGAAGCTTCAGATCCAAAATGACTGGTATGCTTTAGCTGTTCCAATTTCTTTTAATACCCAATCAGGGAGCTGATAAGTGGAACAGCCTTTTCCTTCTCTTATCAGGTCAAATTTTATTGTCAAGATAGCATTTAAAAGGTCCAATTTCATCCTGTTTCTTAGGTTACATTTGATAAATTCACTCCAAATGAAAAACATCTAGAAAAAACATCTACCATCTAAATGTCAAAAATGCCATCTAAATGCAATGGAAAACATCTAAATCTGGATGTAAAACATCCAAAGTGGCAACACTGCATCCAGCAGTTTCTTTATTTGCCTTGCTGGTCTTGTTAGCTGACTTTGCCACCATGTATCTTTCCCAGATCAGACTGGACAGGCTGGTGGACAAGTGGTCAGGCTCCATTGAAGTCGGCATCACAACACACAACCCTAACACTTTAGAATTTCCAGCCACAATGACCAACATGAGAAATGCGAGTTCCAGTCGTAAGTTCACTGATGTTTTGAGCATTTATTGTGTGTCATATTTGTCCCCTTTTATTAACTGGTTCTCTCTCTCTCTCTCTCTCTCTCTCTCTCTCTCTCTCTCTCTATCTATCTATCTATCTCTCTCTCTCACTCTCTCTCTCTCTCTCACTCTCTCTCTCTCCTCCCCCACTCTTCCTCCCTCCCTCTCTCTCTCCCTCCCTCTCTCCTCTCTCTCTCTCCTCCCCCTCCCTCTCTCTCTCTCTCCCTCCATCCCTCTCTCTCCTTCTCTCTCTCTCTCTCTCTCTCTCTCCTCCCCCTCCCTCTCTCTCTCTCCCTCCATCCCTCTCTCCCTCTCTCTCTCTCTCCTCCCTCTCCCTCTCTCTCTCCCTCTCTCTCTCTCCTCCCCTCCCTCTCTCTCTCTCTCCCCTCCCCTCCCTCTCTCTCTCCTCTCCCTCCATCCCTCCCTCTCTCTCCCTCTCTCTCCCCCTCTCTCTCTCTCTCTCTGCTTATCATTTTCTCTTATACTGTTTCCCCCTCTCTCTTGCTGTCTCCTTCAATCTTGCTTGCCTGGAAGGATCTGTAAAGATTATCTGTATGCTCTTTCTAATGCATGTATAAGTTATAGTCTTTGTTTCTCTAAGGTTATTACTGATGCCATCATTCCATCTTTTGTATGGACCTCTTACTCTGTGTTCATTATATTTTGTCCATCTGAATGTGGCTCTCTGTTTCAGCAGGCATGCTAAGGTAACCAGAGGAGTAGAAGAAAAAGAACATATGCAAACTAAATTTCATCTTCTCCTGTTTATTGTTTTATCTTCTTCTTTTTCTGCCTACAATCGCCTTGGCAAGGCCAGACTGAAAAATTGCACAGGCCTTATACGGCTCATCAGCTTTATATATATATTACCATTCCAGCTTTGTTCATATGTTAACATATTTTATCTTAATATGTTAATATTTCAACATGATCATCACCATAATCATCATCCAGTGTTGCCATTATATGTCAAAATGGTCTGTCCTTTACGATCCTTTCGGTATCATGGATAGAATCCAGGCCCTCCAGCAGCTCTGGATTTCATTAGAAGACAACAGGTGAAATGGTTTGGCCATGTAACAGGGATGTCAGCAGACAGTAGGCCACAACAAGCAGTGATGTACAGACAAGGTGGGAAGCCAAGAAGAGGCCAACCATGCATGCGGTGGATAGAGGGAATCACAGAGTCTCTGGGAATCCCAGTTTATGAAGCACACAAACAGGCACTTTCCTTTAAACTATACTTTACCTTGACACCAAAAGGCACAAGAGGATCACAATGAGATGAGACGAGATGATTCAGTAGCTATGCAAATATTTCTCTTATTTCTTCATCTTTCTTAGTTTCATCCCATTTTTTTTCATAACACATTTAACATCTGTTCCATGTCTTTAGTGATTCTCCAGCTGTCTCACGGGGGTCACCGTGGCAAAGTGGTCAAACAGTTTGCCTTGCTCTCTGAAGGTTGGTGGTTCATTTCACGGCGATGCTGTTTAGTTCACCAGTGCAATTTTTTCTGAGATCCCTGTGGTCGTCACCGATCTACAGAGATAATGCTCTGTGCGACGCTCTTGGCAGGCAGCTAGCCATGCTGCCGAGAGAGACTGAGCCATTTGAGATCATACCTGGTGCAGTGAAGTGGATCCTCTCACTGTTACCTTACTGTCACTGGCGTATTTTTTTAAATTGAAATCCGTTTCATATTTGTGGATTATTGTTTTCAGGCACAATTATGATGAGTGGGTGTGGTATCCTGACAAATGGTAAAGGCACAAGACGAGAATACGGGCAGTTTAATTTGGATGAGCTCAGTGTAAGTGACTTTGCTTTAACTCTTTCAGTACCAAGCAGTGCATCATATGTTAGTTATTCCATGATTTTTTTTTTTTTAATTTTTCTTTCCCTAACTTGTTTCAGTCAACAGTTGTTGAATTAAGACACTTGTAATCTTTTATAACCCTTTTATGCCCTGCGAATGCATGAACCAAAAAAAAATGGGCCGTGTACCAGGGAATTCCCAGGAAAAAATCCTTTAAAAAATAAAACACATCACCCACGTCACCAATACATTTAAAAAAGTGTGTTTATAGGCATTTTGAATTTTTGTTTCTAAATGTATAAAGATATATACAGGGTAATCAGTAAGCATGAATGGAGAACAGTCGCCACGGACTTTGCAGGTGGGACTTTATTTTTGTCACGGACAAATTTTTTCCCCATGGTTTTGAATCTCAATCCCTTGAATGAGAAGATGGCTTTCTTAACCTATTCAGTACTAAAAGAACTTGCTATACATTTGTTGGTTACTCTTTATACAGGTCACATTTCTTTATATTTCTTGCCCCCTTTTTATATTATGTTAACAGCTTATATTTAAATTGCTGCTCTAAGAACTTCTGTTCCAAAGTTAAATTTTTTTAAGTTCTGTGAGAGGAAATCTTAACGATGCAGAGTGTGTTTAAAAACTTTTAAAAACTAAGCTTTATTCTCAGGTCAGTGCCTTAAGTAGGGACAGGAAGTGGAAGATGGTCGGTGTGATGTTAACCATATCATCCACCGAGTGTTGACTGGTCCATAAAATATAGATCTAACACTGTATGTCCAAAACAGTTGATAGCGTGGAAAAGGGTCTCAAATTGTTGCCTTAAGAGACATAAACTATAACATTGACACATGCTGAATAAGACACTAGTTTAGTTAATTGTTCGGCCAGCCACTCCTCAGATTTCTCAATCATTGGCATCTTTTCATCCTTCCAGACGATGGTGTTATATTGCGCTATGAGGAGGCATGAGACTCACAGCCTGTGGCGATGGCGAGTGTGACTAGCAAAGCATGCCTGTGTCAAAAACAGTCTTCCACAAAGATAGCATGGGATTTCAGGACCATTGTTGTCAACATTTGTGTTAAATCCATTTCTTTTCAGATGCTCAGCTCTCATCCTTTCTGCAATCATTTCTTCCTATAGTCTCATTCCCTTCCTGATATGCCCTTTCCACACCACTTGGTCCATGGCAATTTTGTTCCCATGAGTCCACCTCAATACCTGTATCATTCATGTCCCACTTGCACACATCTTTATATGTCTCATTGATCTTTATTGATTTGTCTTCCCAGGAAGGAGACCACATCGGGCTGGTTCGTAAACCCGGTGGTCACTTACACTATTTTATCAACGGGATGGACCAAGGGATGGCATCTGCCAATGCTCCCTCCCCTGTGTGGGGGGTGGTGGACCTGTATGGCATGGCTGTCAAAGTGACCATCGTTGACCACAGTCCTGTAGAGTCAGAAGCTGTTGCCGCCAGCATGGTGCCCCTGCAGCCGGTGGAGAGAAGTCTGGTGAACACACTGAGGCAGTTTCTGGACTCTTGTGAAGGCAGTGAGAGAGCTGAGTCAAGGGCTGTCACAGGTGTGTTGGGTAGCTGGATAACTTTAATTGTTGTCTTCTTCTTCTTCCTTCTCTTATTCTTTTTCTTCCTCTTCTTCTTCTTCTTCTTCTTCCTCTTCATCTTCTTTGTAGACCGGCTGTAAGCTGCGGGGAAAAGTCCTGGCTGTTCATCCATTTGGACTTTTGCTTTGTGCTAGGGCCTGAGTTTTGCATGTACATCCATTTTACTGGCTTGTTTGTGTACAGTTGGTTGTTCCTTGCCGCTTGGGCAGATGCACTCCGACTTCGAAGAAAGCTCCCAGCTAGTGGACTCTTTACGACATGCTGTTTTGGGTAGGCAATGGGTCGTTTCTTGTTTTCCCCACAATGGGGTCCCAGAGCCCACATGGAGAGTAAGTCAGTCAGTAACAGAACCTTTTCCATACCTTCATGCACATTGGGGATATAAGTAAAAAAAAGAAGTAAAGATCCCTTTACATGCCCTTAGGAGCATCGGGCATATGGGAAGCGCACCCATATTTGTACAGACCTATTGGCACTCGGTGGGTAATGTGGTCAGCATTCACGCCGGCCGTCTTTACTTTCCCCAGGACAGCCCATCCTGGTACCCATTTGAGGCTGGGCTGACCTCCGACATCCCATACAACGACAAAAATCCACGCAGCCTGCAGTGGGTTTCGATCGCGGTACGTTGGATTATGAGTCAGACTTGTAACGCCCTAGCCACAGACGCCGCTGGGATATAGGGCTAGACCTCCATGTTCAGACCAGTTGACACATGGGGGGTGATGTGGTTAGGGTTTGCTTCCCAGGACGTTACCTGCTGCCAGTTTTATCCTGCATCTACCTGGTAGCCAAGATTTTTTTTTTTTAAAGTCTGGATCTGATCAGCAGGCATGCGTCTATCCGCTACACTATGGTGGCTCCCTAAGTGTGTTCAGTGGGACAAAAAGAGTCAGTTGGCACATTTGGAGAATTCCACTTTACCAATATTTTAGGAAAATCAGATCTGATGTGAATTTGAACCATCCACCTTCAGGCTGGCAGGGGAGTGTCTAGCTGCAACACGACCATAGCTGCCATTAATGTACATAAATGATTCTTCTACTTCTTCTTCGCGTTTGCCGGCTGTAAACCATCTGCTTGACAGATCTGGCTTATTTTTATGGTTCCTCACTTCTCAGATGTAACTGGGAAAAGAGAAGAGAAAGAACATCTGCCGCATAGCTCTCGTATTGTTTACATGACAAGACAGGTGTGGTCAGAGCCCTTTGGAAACAAGTAACGAAATCAGAAGACAAACTAGATTATTGTGGGCTGGAGAGAATGATGCACCTGGGTGTGACCAGAAGGTTCGGCCAGTACACTACTCTCAGAGGAAAGGCAATACGGACATACACCACACTACGACCAGCACCATTAGTATTGGAACTCTGCACTGGCTGCTGAGGATGGGGATGGAGTGCATATTAGAATGCCCTGAGTGCTGTGATGTAAATTCTTGACTCAACTCAACTCATATTGTTAAAATTTTTGTTTGATGAGTGATTTATATAATAAGTGTTTATTTGAAACCCATTCCAATGGTTTTATAAAAAAAAAAAAAAACCTCAAAGAAACATTAGATGTCGCACAGTTAAACAAAGCATTCATTTTGAATGCATTATGCACTATGAGTTGGTCAGAAAAGGTCGCCCTATGCGTTTAGGCAAGCATCAGGCAGACTCACTGTGACTTTCAACCCCGGGAAATTATTTATATTTGACAGCTTTATTTATATGTCTACAGAGACAGAGGAAATTGAGAAGCTCCTCTTCAGTCCTGTTTGTGGAGTTCATGCAGCTGTCATTAATGGAAACAGAACTGCTCATAGACCAAAGTAAGTGATATTATGCTAAAGGACGGTGATTCCCAAACTGGGTGCCGCGACCTCTTCACAGGGGCGCGGCGAAATATTCGAAGATACAGGAGTTAAATGTTTTTTTTTTTTCTCTCATATGAATAGTGATACTTTTACTTAGGTTAGGGAGCCGTGGAGAAATTTTAATTGAAAAAAGGAGCCGCGACTAAGACAAGTTTGGGAAACACTGCTATAGGAAGTATCATGAAAAGATATCAAACCAGATGAAGAGTAGACTGGTCAGCTTCACTTCACGTTATCACAATCACAAATGACAAGTGAGAGTTGCAGCTGGAAAGCTTGATAAGCACCGCATTACATGAGCAGGTAGTGTAGAAGTTACAAACAGGCAAACACAGAATCTGTTAACTGACTATCTCCGAGAGAAATCTGCATCTCTCTCTGGCCAGTTGACACTCTCAAATGAATTATTCGAATTGCGCTTCAAATTTACGTGTTGACTGATTTCATTTTCTCAGCTCTGTTAGTTAGTTGTGTATCCTTTACAGGACGTTGCAGAACCAACCTCAGCTCTTTTTGACTGTTGTGGTTTTTCTAGTCAAGTTTTACATTCAGTAGTTTGTCATTGAACGGTCATCACTTGGTACCACTGTCGAAACCATCGCAAGACAAATCTTCCGCTGCTGGAATCGAACCTAGCACCCTGGCGCATTTGCATCGCCTACTAAATAAAAATAACATATGATAACATATGAAACTGCTAAATGTACATTGTAAAGTTAGATTAAAAAGCATTAAAAGGAAATCACAGTTAAAATTTTGTGAGCTACCATGTTCCCCGTAGCAACATTTGAATGTGAGTCTTGGACTATCTCGCAGTTCTTAAGGAAAAAATAGATGTTTTTGAGCCGAAATGCTATAGAAACATCTTCAGAATACCATGGACAAAGAAGAAGGGAAATACTCAAGGACCCTAAACATCAAGGAAGATTGGCTGGTAAACAGCATTTTGTCTCTGAAACTGCAATAATATGACCATACCAAGCATCATGGCAAATTGGAAATAATAATAGCAGAAGGCAGGGTACCAGGAAAGAGGTGTAGGGGCCGATCAGCACGAAGATGGACGCAGGATATAAGTGACACATTGGGTAGATAAATGTGCAAGGCGGGAGAGCTAGTGAAACACTGAGTTTCTTTCAAGCAAATCGTGATGAGAGAGCGATGTTCTGCAAAGGACCTGCTACTTGATAATGATGATGATATAGTAAACTAATTAAGTCAAGGACCCTTTAAAAAAAATAATTTTACATTAAAAAAAATTTTTATTTAAGCATTTTCAGAATGAAAATGCTAAACACTATAAATTTGACAATACGAAAACTTAGTTGTTGAGTTGAGTTGGGTCAAGAATTGACATCACAGCATTCAGGGCATTCCCATGTATACTCTGTCCTCATCTTCAGCAGCCGAATCAGAGTTCTAATACTGATAGTACCGGTCACAATCTGGTAATATGTCCGTCTTGTCTTTCCTCTGATTGTAGTGAGCTGGCCAGACCCTCTGGTTACACCCAGGTGCCTCATTCTTTCCAGGCCATAATAATCTTGTTTCTCTACTAATTCCGTTGCTTGTTCCCAAAGGGCCTTGACCACATCTGCCTTGTCATGTATCAATTCACTACCCTGTGGTGCAGATCCAGCGAATCTGTCTGCCTGTTTATTACCCACTACCCCGACATACCTGGAGAAAAGATACCCATGACCTTCATAGTGAAGCTTGCCATTCTGCTTGAAGCATCCCTGTCTTCACCTTTCCCAGCATGGTGAAGAAGCATGGTGAATATGAAAACTTAGTGATTTGTCAGTTGAGGCGAGAAAAAAAATTCTTAACAGCAATATAAATCCTGTCTTGATGTGCGGATGTGAATCATGGACAGTTGTTAGATTAGTGAACAATTATTTGGAAGCTGCAGAGGTGTGGTTTTTATAGACGAATGATGAGAATACCCTGGACAGATAAAAAGAGTCAAGAGGGTGTTTTGAAAGAAACTGAGTACATTGTGACAGAATGAAGTTTGGAGGGAAGGAGAGGCAGAGGGAAACCGAGAGAAAAGATGCTGGACAGTTTGACATCATGGCATGTTGGATCACGGCCACCTTTAGATATAAATAGGCCAACTGGGTCAACGGGGATTCCCGTTCTTGTGCAAGAATTGAGTCCTTCTGTGTTAACAGTTTTTATTGAGGAGATGTATACACAAATTAAACTACAGTTTCATTAATTTTCTACATATTTTTTAGAACTATACGTCATTTTTAAGGTAAATAAGTGTGCCAAATAAATATAACAATAAAGGCTCTTACAGACAAACAAAAATGCTTTTGCTACAGTCAACATGAACATAAACATCAATAACGTTTAGATGTAAACTAAAAGTTGTTCCAGCAAAAGTAAAGAAATATCAGTGCTAACTCTTTGATTCTGAGAGGGTATTGTTGCATCAGAGGAGGGGGGGGGGGTGACATTTGTACTTTATCAAATTTAGCGCATAAAAATACTGCTATGAAACATGCAAATATCATACATAACATAAATATAAATAATTGATGGTTATTATTATTATTAGTAGACTACTACAACATATAATTATACCATTGTTTAATAATTAGTAAACAAGCACAATCAGTATGAAATTGATATGTGCAATACTTTTTTACCCAGAGTAGTTTTCTTAACAGTACTTATAGCACTACTAAATATGTATCCTCAAGGTACAAACAGCACAAACAAATTTGTCCAGTTTCATCTTGTTGGATGAAATCAATTCCTTACCATTGCAAATTTTTTGGTAACAAATATGCTTAGGAAGTGGATGAACTACCAGAAGTTTCTGCAAGAGTTTACAGCCAGTGTTCGCGAAGCAAAGCAAAAGCCAGTTTACAAAAATTAACAGACCGTAAAACTGCAAATATGCAAAAGAAGTCGATGAACTACCAGAATTTTCCGCAAGAGTTTACAGCCAGTGTTTGCGAAGCAAAGCAAAAGCCAGTTTACAAAAATTAACAGACCGTAAAACTGCAAATATGCAAAAGTAGTCGATGAACTACCAGAATTTTCCACGAGAGTTTACAGCCAGTGTTGGCGAAGCAAAGCAAAAGCCAGTTTACAAAAATAAGCACAGACCGTAGAACTGCAAATATACAAAAGAAGTCGATGAACTACCAGAAGTTTCCGCAAGAGTTTATAGCCAGTGTTCGCAAAGCAAAGCAAAAGTCAGTTTACAAAAATTAACAGACCGTAAAACTGCAAATATGCAAAATAAGTCGATGAACTACCAGAATTTTCCGCAAGAGTTTACAGCCAGTGTTCGCGAAGCAAAGCAAAAGCCAGTTTACAAAAATTAACAGACCGTAAAACTGCAAATATGCAAAAGAAGTCGATGAACTACCAGAATTTTCCGCAAGAGTTTACAGCCAGTGTTCGCGAAGCAAAGCAAAACCCAGTTTACAAAAATTCACAGGACGTAAAACTGCAAATATGCAAAAGAAGTCGATTAACTACCAGAATTTTCCTCAAAAGTTTATAGCCAGTGTTCGCGAAGCAAAGCAAAAGCCAGTTTACAAAAATTAACACAGACCGTAGAACTGCAAATATGCAAAAGAAGTCGATGAACTACCAGAGTTTACAGCCAGTGTTCGCGAAGCATAAGTCAAATGGTTAAGGATTAATATTATTAGTGTACTGCTACAACATATAATTATACTGTTAGTCAACAATTAGTAAAGCGGCAAAGAGTGACTTGCTGTGAGAGGTAAGTTAGTAAATTAAATATTATTTTCATCCACTTACCTAGAGCTCCGAAATATCTTGACACAATTTATCCACAGTGTGGTTGCACCATTTATGCACAGTCAATATGAAAGCAATAGTTTTCTTCAAACACAAGATAGTTTGCACCTGACAACTGTCGATATTTTCCAGAAATGGCTTCTAAATTACCTGTTTGTATTATCCCTAAAAGCAAGATTTCTACATTTAAAGTAGAAAAGTAATAAACAGCCAGTTCCCCAAAATCTGAACTACTGACTAGAAACAGTGACACTGACACACACACATCACAACACGACTGTCTTCCTTGAATTAAAATTAAAATTAAAATTGCTGTATATCCACTTCACAATATCCATTTGTAGATTTGTAATACGAATACGTTTAGAACACAGGACTTTGTAAGCATATTAATATGTCACACATTGCAACATGGAAACGCTCCCAGTAACCTAATTTTGAGGGGGACTCCTCCAAAAAGTACCGTGATTCAGTTGTCGGGACTGAATTTACAGCCGGACGTGGTTGGATCATCTGTGTCAGAGTTGATTGAAAGTACAGGAGACAGAAGGTTGTGGATAGACATGACTACTAATGCTACACAGCATGGACTTTAAGAAGAAGTGATTATAACTAGCACGTGAAACATGGTAACACTTGTCTCGCTAAACAAATACAATTTTAAATAATGCAAATACAATTTTATTTGTCTGTTTTAAAACAGCGCAGCTGATGACTTTAACAATGGAGTGATTTTGACCAACCGGCCATTGCGCCCAAATGAAGTTTTCGAAGTTCGGTTGGACAAGCTGGTGGACAAATGGGCAGGTTCAATCGAGATTGGCTTGACCACTCATCAGCCAACAGATCTAGATTTCCCATCGACAATGACGAATATTCGTTCAGGTACGTGGATGATGACGGGCAATGGTGTCATGCATAATGGCTGTACCATAATAGAGGACTATGGGCATAATTTGGATCGCTTGAAGGTAAGGAATGTATTCCTCGTTTAGCTTCATTTTTAAGGACTCTTTTCAGTCCTCCTCCTCCTCCTCCTTCTTCTTCTTCTTCTTCTTCCTTCTTCCTCCTCCTCTTCCCTCCTCCTCCTCCTCCTTCTTCCTCCTTCTTTCCTCTTCCTCCTCCTTTCCTCTTCCTCCTCTTCCTGCTTTCTTCTTCTTTGTCTCCTCCTTCTCTTCTTCTCCCCCTCCTTCTCCTTCTCATCGAAGTGCTTGGTGAGAGAGGTAAATATCTTCCATATGCTGTTTCTGATACACTGTATAAGTTGATGTTCATTTCTTCAAAGCTGTTCTTGATGCCAACATTGCAATTTTTGTATGATCTTCTCCTCACTCTGTGTTCATTCTGTTTCTTCAGCTTGGCTCTCCATTGCTTGTCAGATGGTCAGTCTATCTCATCTTTGCTATTTAGTGAATTTTATGACTTCTGTTCTCATTGCAGAGGATGAATTCCTAAGTGGAATAATCTTTCTATGATCACATCTTGACATTGCACACACATGTTTTCTGCCTTCCGTCTTTTTGGCTCATGCACTGGCCATGTGGCCCTTACTCTTCAGGCTGAAGCCCTTTCTGTCAACACCCCCCAAAAAATGGGTAAATTCAGGCAAGGAAGACTTTTTTATCTCTGCGTAGACATAGGCCCTCAGTCAGTTTAATCCTGTCGACCCGAGAAGACTAAATCTACTCACTTCTGTTTGTGACACAGCCCCATACATGCTGATATATCGCTGTTTCTGCAGTGACCTGTTCTCGAAAAGCCTAGTTAAATGCCATTGGTTCTATGTATGCCTGCGATAGTGTTTAGGAGGCCAGGATGTAAATATATTAAGCATTGGGTGGGGGGACAAAGGTGGGGGGGGGCTTTTGAACCCAATAGCTTTCTTTAAAGTGAGGTTAACTTAAAATGTTATGATGTCAGTAATTAGTGGTGACCTAAACAGCACTGAAGATGTCTTGGAAGACACAGACTGATTCATGAAGAGAACTGATTGCCCACATCAGAAGGAGACAATCTGCATTCTTCGGTCATGTCATGAGGAGAAAACTGGAGTACACAGTTACTGGGGGAAACTTGGAGAGGAAAAGGGGCAGAGGGAGACCAAGAGCGAAGATGCTGGACAGCTATCATGGACTATGGAAGATCATCTGTGTCAGAACGCAAAACTCAGGTCCAGGTAAGAGCCAAAAGTCCAAATAGACGATCTACAGCGACCTTCCACCAGAATTCACAGCCGGTGAACGAAGAATAAGAAGAATTGATCGAAAGTACATGAGTCAGAAGGGTGTGGAAAGACATGACTACCAGTGCCACATGGCATGGACTGTAAGAAGAAGAAACATATTAGGTAGGTAGTTGTACCCCACCAGGACATCACACAAGCGATAACCCCCCCGGTGACACAAAGTGCCACCATGCGGATGAGGATCACCCCTGGAGAGATCCCAGAAACCCCTTTCAGCCGTTAGGCCATATCTATGGCTAGGCCATAGATATGCCCCGGCTATATTCAGGGCCACCGGCAGAAACCTGGGTGGGGCTACAAATAACAAAAAGTTGCATCCCACAAGAGGACGACTTAGAATAATTATTAAAACAGATGATGACTTGTTGCTTCTCACTCTCCATTGATTTAAAGTTCTTAAGAGTTAAATACTCTAACTCAGATATACTCATGCATTTAGGTAGGAGATCGTGTTGGGGTTGTCCGCAAGGCTGATGGAACAGTGCATTTTTTCGTGAATGGGATTGATCAGGGAGCTTGTGCAACCAGTGTTCCACCAAATATCTTTGGCGTTATAGATCTATATGGCATGGCTGCACAAGCAACCATAGTTGATTCCTCAGGTGAGCTGGCTATTTTTTGATGGTTTCTTCTTCTTCTCCTCCTCCTTCCTCTTCTTCTTCTTCCTCTTCCTGTTCTTCTTCTTCCTCTTCTCCTCCTCCTCTTCTTCTTTTTCTTCTTCTCCTCCTCCTTCTCCCTTCTCCTCCTTCTTCTTCTTTCTTCTTTTTTGTTTTCTCCTCGTAAAATATGTCAATCATCATTTGAAGGGCAAATACGCACAAAAAAACCACACACACAAAAAAAAAGAAGAAAAATAGGAGGCTGGCTGAATGGTTAGAACACTGGGCTTTTATGCAGGAGAGCCAGGGTTGAATTCTCAGGTTTAAGGACCCTCTGCCTACTCCGCAAAAAATTGTATTGTGAAGTCAATCTTGTGGCACTACTGGTTTTATCCCAGCTTGTTTTCTGAAATCCTCATTTCTGATCATGTCTGTGCTGTTAACGTTTAGGATTCACGGTATAAATTTTCATTTCTGTTGCTTTGATTTTTATTTGCCTTCCTATTGTTAATATCTTCTTTGGGCTCTCTCTCTCTCTCTCTCTCTCTCTCTTTCTCTCTCTCTCTCTCTCTCTCTCTCGCTCTCTCTCTCTCTCTCTCTCTCAATCGCACACACACACACACAAAAACACACACCCACCCACCCACCCACTCAGAACCCACCCAGAACCCACACAGAGAGAGAGAAAAAGAGAGAGAGGCATTCCCTGCACACACCACACACGCGTACACGTCCACATCACACACTTTCTCACACTCTCACTCACACACACGCTCACTCATTCACATGCACACACGGACACACACACATGCACCACTCACTCACACACACACTGACACACTCTCTGTCTCAATCTGTCTTGCTCACACTCACAAAGACAGGCCCACACACACGTGCATACACAGACACACACACACACAGACACACACATGCACACACTCACCACTCACTCATACACACACACTCATACCACTAACACGCACATGCATCCACACACGCACGTGCGCACACACACACACACACACACACACAGAGAGAAAGAGAGAGTGATACTCTGGCATCTCAATATACAACTGCTGTTTTCTCTCTATATTGTGATTTACTGCCATCTCTAACTGTAATGCTGTGTCCTCTTCAGTACACATACTCTAGAATCTCTATAGAAATGCTTTATTCTCTCAACATAGAAATTCTCTGTCCTTTCACATACAGATAATCTATATCAGCGCTATTTAGATAGCACCCCACGGAGGCCTAGCAGGTGGCCTGCATATCACTTCCAGTTGAATCATGTTAATCTTTCTAGGCTGGAACTTGAGCCACTGGCCTGTGGTGACCCTATTTTCAACATTTTAGCTACTGAGTGAACTCGTATGTTTCCACATAAAAGCTTTGGCATCACCAAATACAGGTCTCTGGTCATTTGAGATGCATATATTCTTGCCTCTCCATATACAGATTCTCTGACTATATACAGATACTTCAGCTTTCTCCGGATACACTCTAGTCCTCTCTATATATAGATAATTCAGGCCTCTCTATACACATATAACTCAAGCCTCTTCATATACAGATAACTCTAGCCTCTCTGTATACAGATACTCTGGCCTCTGTATATACAGATACTCTGGCCTATTAATCTAAAGATAACTCTGGCCTTTCCATGTACAGATAACTCTGACCTCTCCTTATTCAGATACCCTGGCCATATAAGATATTCTGGCCTCTCCGTTTAAGATACTCTGGCCTCTCAACGCACAAACTCTGACCACCTACAATTACTGTGACCTCACTAGATACAGATAATTTGACCTCTTGAGATACATTTTCTCCTACTAAGAGACGTCTGTGCCATAACATGTTCTTATCTTACCTCCCTAGGCACACCTCTCTTACCTCCTCATACTTTTCTAGTGTCATACTCTTTCAATGTCTTAACATGGCTTAGTGATATCCTCCACACATGTTCTTATCTTACCTCCTCATGCACTGATTCTCTTACCTCTTCATACTTTTCCATGTACTTAACTTGTTTATTGATGTTCTCAACAGATGCTCTTACGTCTCCGGACACAGACTCTAGTGTGTTCTCAGATCCAGACCAGCTCAAGTTCCATCACTTCCATGGCAGAAATGCCACGGTACTTCACAATGGACTGACTGCAGCACGACCCAATGCCACGGGGGAGTTTAACGATGCTATCGTCATGAGCAACAGACCACTCCGAGATGGGGAGCTCTTTGAAGTTGTCATTGAGAAAATGGTGGACAGATGGTCTGGGTCACTTGAAGCGGGTAAGTGGAATGCTGGTGGTGCTAGACAGGGTTGCTGATAGGGTTTTTAATGTGATATCCGTGGTTCCAGATTCATTCCTAGTTACAAAGACTCACCTGGATATAGCCCGGGATATGAAGTGTGAGGGAAGGAAAAAAATCTTGGCGGGGTAGCATTTCTGATAGGGTTTTTAGTGTGATATCCGTGGTTCCAGTTTCATTCCTAGTTTCAAAGACTCACCTGGATATACAGTCCGGGATATGCAGGAATGTGAGGGAATGATCAAAGCTTGGCGGGGTGGCATTACTGATAGGGTTTTTGGTGTGATATCCGTGGTTCCAGATTCATTACTAGTTGGAAGGACTCACCTAGATATAGTCCCGGATATGCAGGAGTATGAGGGAATGAAAAAAGCTTGGCGGGGTGGCATTACTGATAGGGTTTTTATTGTGATATCCGTGGTTCCAGTTTCATTCCTAGTTACAAAGACTCAACTGGAAATACAGTCCCAGATTTGCTGGAGTGTGATGGAATGAAAAACGCTTGGGGTGGTGGCGACAAAAGTATAAGCTACAGAAATACTGATATTGGACTTCTTTTGTGAGTGACCGATTGTAAACTTTGCCATAAAGTTCTGGTTGTTAGAACACTTGTGGACTTTGGTCTTGTTCCAGAACTTGAGTTTGGCATGCTCTTTCATTCTACACATCTAACATTTAAACTGTTGGTTGTTAAATCTGACTTTTGCCGAAAGGTTGCGATATCCATATTACCGAGCCAAAGGATTAGCAACTCATGGTTTCTGGGTATTTAAAAAAAAAAATAATGTTGCTTCCTTGCTTGTCAGGCAAATGAGGTCTGACTTTGAAGGAAACTAACCTTAATTAGTTGGACTTTTATGCCATGCTTGTTTCCCGTGTGGGTTCTGGGGCCCCATTGTGAGGAAAACAAGAATAGACCCACTGCCTCCCCAACAAGCATGTCGTAAGAGTTGACTAACACTGGGGGGTTTCCTTCGAAGTCAGAGTGCATCTGCTTGAGAGGCAAGGAATCAACAGTCTGCATACAAATGCATATGACCTATGCAGAAAAATGCTTAGAATACCATGGACCAAGAGGACAACACCAACATCCTACATGATCAGAACATCGAGGAGATCTAGCTCATAAACAGCATCCTGCCCTGAAAGCTGAGCTACTTTGTCCATGTTAAATGTCATGGTGGCCTGAAGAGAACTGTGATCAAGGTTGCAGTTATGGGAAAACGAGGCAGAGGCGTTGACAAAGGTTGATACAAGACATTGAAGATTGATTATCTGCGAAAACACATAGGGCTGGGGCGTTGGCTAGAGAGAGAGAGAGACTTTCAGCCCAACCTCCACAAAAGTTGATACAAGACATTGAAGATGGATTATCTGTGAAAGCACATAGGGCTGGGGCATTGGCTATAGAGAGAGAGAGAGACTTTCAGGTCAACCTCCACAAAGGTTGATACAAGACATTGAAGATGGATTATCTGTGAAAGCACATAGGGCTGGGGCATTGGCTAGAGAAAGAGAGAATTTCATGGCCAACCTCCAAAAGGGTTGATACATTAAAGATGCATTGGCCGTAAAAGCACATAGGGCTGGGGCATTGGCTAGAGAGAGAACGAACGAACGAATAAACTTTATTTTTAAAGGGTTACAAATTAGGCACTAAGGCCTGTCTTACATTCGGCCCTTCCAAACTCCCATCTTTCACACAGCAGTTGTATTTCATCAATAAAGCATATTATGTTCATGTAATAATATGCATATTTTGAATATCAAGTTAAAAACAAAAGCATGGGTGGTAAAATAAATGCACATGCTCGCACACAAACACACACACCCACATACACATGCAAACCCATTCACACACACACACAAACATAGGCACCCAATATACACACATATCCACATACATACAAACATGCATGCACACACACACACATATACACACACAGCTATACAAACACACGCACACAAACATACACATGTAGCCGCACAAAAAGACCTATACAAACACACGTCCGACGCACACAGACATAAACCCACACAGACACACACACACATACATACACACACGTAGCCGCACAAAAAGACCCATACAAATACACACACCGACGCACACAAACATAAACCCACACAGACACACAAACACATGCAGTCACAGTCACACACACAAACACATACACACACGCAGACAGGGAAACACACAGACACAACACAGGCATGCATACAGTCGCATACCCACACAGACATACAGGCAGATGCATAAACCAACACAAACAGAGACACGCAGACATCACTTAATAGAGACACACACAGATACACAAAGCCACACACACAGTCACTCACAGCCACAGACAGACACAGATACGCAGACAGACACTCACACCGACACATAATGGCACACACACACATACATACAAATACACTCACAGATGCACAAACACTCACACAGACACACACGCGCAGACACACACACATTATTAAAAAAAACACACACAGATACCCACGAAGCCACACAGACACACGCAGACATTATATAATAGACACACCCATAGAGACTCACACAGACAGAGACTGTCAGGTGTGCCTTGAAGAGAGCGATGTTCTGTTAAGGTGCTTGCTATTGATGATGATATGCCCGATGTGCCACTGTCATTAAAAAAAATTAGCTCACTACTTACTGACCTAAGTGTTGTTTTCCAGGTGTTACTCTTGTGAAACCAGAAGAAATTGATTTCCCCAACACGATGACAGATATCGAGCATGATACCTGGATGTTAAGGTGAGAATTTTAAAATAAAATGATACTGTCTACCCAAAGGATATTGGTGCCATGTATCCACTGCTGACTGGGAATATTACGTATTGAGGCCCCTAAGCTTTTGGACAATGTGACAATGGTACCACTGTCGAAAAGTCACCAGAATGGTCTGTTTCCAAGCTGTCCATCACGAGAATCCAGCCCTGGTAATCCTCGAGGTTTGCATTGTGAAACCATTTCACGAACCCCTAAGCCACAGAGACGCACGGGGTAACAGTTGTCTACTTTCTTCTTTACTTTCACCAGCTGTAAACTCTGGCAGAAAGTTCTGTTTGTTTGTCCACTTCTGAACTTTGGTCATGTTTCAAAACCTGCAGCAGTCAGATGTGTCGGCCGAAAGGCACAAATGTTGCAGCCATATTGTAAACGGGCACAACACATTTACATCTTCTTGTAAACACAGTAGAAAAAGAATTTATTTTGCAGATCTGGTTTATTTGAATGCAGACTGTTGGTTCTTTACCTCTCAGACAGGTGCACTCCAACTTCAAAGGAAACACCCCTATTGTTAGGAGGGCAGTGGTTTGTTCTTTTTTCCTCTAAAATGGTGCCCTGGCATCCACATAGGGAGTGAGAATTACAGGAGGATTCTTCTTCGTATTTATCTATACTGCCTGGCATTGGTTGTCAGGACTGTCCACATGCATTTGCTGCCAGTAAGTTTTCATGCAAGACATACCCCCATACCATGATGCAAACTGCCCGTGTTAGCTGAGTTAATGAGGCATTGCATGGGACAATGCGGCACCAGAAGTATAGTAATAAAAACCAAATGGAGGGAATTGAGTGGATGTTATTGCAGCACGTCTACCTGTGGGTTCTGGGGCCCCATTGTGGGGAAAAGCAAGAATAGACCCACTGCCTTCCAGCATGTCGTAAGAGTTGATTAATTGTTTGTTTCCTTCTTAAGTCGAAATGCATCTGCCTGAGAGGCAAGGAACCATAAATCTGCATACACATAAGTCAGGTCTGTAAAATGGATGTGAAGTCCAGAGGTGGACAAACAACCAGAACTTTCTGCAGGAGTTCACAGCTTTTGAATATGAAGAAGAAGAAAAAGTAGACATTTGCTGCCAGACACTTTTAATACAGACATACCTCCATACCATGATACAAACTGCTTGTGTTAGTTGAGCTAATGAGGCATTGCAAGTGATAATGCAGCACCAGAAGTATAGGCTATATCAGTAATAAAAACCAGATGTAGGGAATTGACTGGATGTTATTGCAGCACGTTATCTCTCGGAAACAATGCCCCAGCCACTTATGTTTCTACCTCTTAATTGGCAGCAGATATTGTATCAGCCAAAAAAAATAATAATAATAATAATAATTTTACAGTTGGATTTAAAACAATATGTCATCTACATTTAGTGTGGCTGTGTGACTCAGATTTTGAGAAATCGTTTTACAATCAAATCTTTGACATACCAAGGTTAGCTTTCTGTGTCGCCTTATCAGAAAAAAAGACCGTTCTTGTGGCTTTTAGACAGTGGTGTGAAAGTAGCCCCGTGGAAGAGGTGGCATCTCACCACATAACATTGCCAAAGACAGCAGCAGATGAACTGCAGATAATCCCATTTTAGGATTTTATTACCCACCCCACCAAGTTCCAATTGGTCTATAAAATTAAGGCCTAGCTTCATATACCAATCTGAAGGTATAGTAAAGGGTCCTTGACTTTTTAATTTAATTTAAATATTTTATCTGGTTTTTGTTTCTCCTTTAGCCATCAGCTGGTCAGCCAAACCTTTCTTCCATAGGTGTAAAAAGGTTGTAGTACACTGAACTAGAGGAGTCAGCTAGGGAGAATCAATTATAAAAACCCATATGCAGGTTGCAGATTAGAATTAAGTCTTTCTGTCCCAATCAGCGCACAGTATGTTATTATCTTTTACCCATGTGTAATAGATGATGAAAAAAGGAGCACTGGAAAATATTGGGACGACTAGAAAGATCTCTGGTAGCTGAGGCAGACAAAGAGAAATGATAATGGATGGCTTAAGACAGTGATATAGAGGAATATCATCAGTAGAATTGATCCAGAATACCAAAGACCGAGATTAATGGCGACGCTAGCTGGCAAGGCACTTGATGATCATGATATCACCTCAGTACAATGTGTGTTATATTTTTCATGTTAGGTCTGTGTTTGCTAAAGGAATAAGGCCAAATATTATACTGTTTAGTCCAGTGTATATTGTGAAACTTTGATTCTATGGTTATTGTGCCATATTGTATTTATGCTGTGAAATCAACTGGAATTGAAACAGTCAAGAGAATTTTTTTTTCTAATAACCTTGTAGGAAAGCACCATCTTGCATTCATAAATACATTCAACTGTAGGGAGAGCTCACACTTCCTTCTGTTGCAGTGGTTATTGTGCCAGATTGTGTTTCTGCTGTGAAATCATATGGGACTGCAAAAGTCAAGAGATGTTTTCTAATAACCTTGTAGGAAAGCATCATCTTGCATTCATAAATACATTTAACAGAAGTGAGAGCTCACACTTCCTTGTGTTGCAGTGGGTCAGCCATAATGCAGGATGGAGCAACAATACGAAATGGGTACCCTCTTGACCTGGACTCCCTCATCATCGGGTCCCGGGTCGGCATGATGAGGTGCTCGGATGGAACGCTGCATTATTACCTGGATGGAGTTGACCAAGGCGTGGCCAGCACTGATATTGCTGCAGGTAAAATAGTCTTTTTGTTGTATATTCCAGTATTTTATCCTCGGTACATCCCAGGTTAACTCAGCCTTTATAGGGGTACCAGCTTAAGTCATGGCAACCGGCTTGATGTTGACCATGTCACCCACGAGTGCCGATAATTCTATAAAATGTAGGTCTAGCCCTATGTGCCCACTATGCCTGAAGTCGGGAAAAGGGGTCCTTTACTTTTTATTTCCATTATTGAATGGTGTTGACCACATCACACATCAAATGCTGAAAGGTCTATACAATTGAAGATCTAGCACTATTTGCCCGATGTTCCAAAGGCAGGAAGAGGGTCCCTTACTTACGTATGCCCATGAACATCCAACCACCTAACAAGACACGAAAATTATGATTTTTTTTATTGGTATTACTAAAACAACAAAAACTGCCATTGCTGCCTGTATTTACAACTTTTGTGGTGAGGAGGGAGGGGTCCGGTCCTTTGAGACCAAGCATTTAGGGCTGTAAGGCTAGTGCTGTCGCTACGGACTGAAGGTTAAAATTTTATTTTCACCCCCCACAGAAAATAATTCCCAACCTTACAATGGATTTAAACCCAGGTCTCTTATATGAGAACTCATGTGTTCCTAACCTTTGCCCAGCCACTCCTCATGGATATTTAAAATTTATTAGGTACTTTCTGCAATAATAATTGATATTTGGGCTTAGATAATCATAAGCTATTAGAGCATCTCTCTTTTTGTGTTCTATAGGTGTGTATGCTTTCAGATATTTATACAGTGACTCTGCCCACAAGCCTCTAAGCACCTAGCAAGGCATATGGAAATTTTGATATTTTCTTATGAATATCTGAATATTTGAAATCTATTAAGTATTGTTTTTGTGTGTGTGCGTGATAATAGTCTGGAGGGAGCTGCTGTGGCTAGACGCTCCTTAGCTTGATTACTAATGTCATTGCTAGGGGGTTTGTCCACGTCCTAGAGACCTTAACAAGACATAATGCATCCTTCTGATTGCACACAACAGTGGGAGCCAAGCCAGGATTTGCCCATTCTGTGTAGATTCTGGAGAAAACAAGAATAGACCCCACTGCCTTTCCAACAAGCATGTAATAATAGTCCACTAAAGGGTAAATTCCTTCCACAGTGACTGTGCCTGAGATGCAAGGAACCAACAATCTGCACACAGAAAAGTCATAGCTATAAAACAGATGTGCATGCAATACTCAGGTTCTGGAAAAAGACTGAAATACAGAGGTGCAGGAACAACCAGAACTTTCAGCCGGAGTTTACAGCTGGTGAATGTGAAGGAGAAGAAGATGTGCCCAATGTGCCTGAAGGTGTGAAAAAGGGTCCTTTACTTACTTTACTAATTGGCTCTGGATTATCATATGCTAGAAGCTCATCTATGTTTGTATGCCTTTACTTACTTTGGTAATTGGCTTGGGATTATCAAATGCTAGTAGCTCATCTATGTGTGTATGTTTTGTAGGTGTGTATGCAGTCATAGATTTGTATGGGCAGTGTGCCCAGGTGAGTATGTCCAATGGCACAGTTGTTCTGCCACCAGCTAGTGTGCTGCAGCAGCAGGCCAGTCTTCAGACGGAGCAGATCTCCACCCCATCTGTTGCCAACACAGGTACTGGCATGTGTGTCATTGTAATCAGCATTATCACCACCACCACCATCATCTTCACCATCAGCGCCACAACCGCCATCACCACCACTACAACCACCACCAGAACGTCAGTGCCAACACCCTCATCATCATCACCATGAACGCCGCCGCCACAACCGCCATAATCACCACTGCAACCACCACCAGATCATCAGTGCCACCACTACCACCATCACCACCACCATCATCATCATCACCATGAATGCCGCCGCTAAAGCTGTCATCATCACCACTGCAACTACCACCAGATCATCAATGCCGCCACCACCATCATCATCATCATCATCATCATCATTATTACCATGAAAGCATTCCGCCAAAGCCGTCATCAACACCAAACTACAACACCACCAGATCATCAATGACACCACTACCACCATCATCACCACCCCAACCATTATCATCATTATTGCCACCACTGCCATCATCATCATCTTGCTGTGCCTTCATATGTCACATAGGGCTCACAGTCTATTTCTTAGTTAAGTTTTTTTTTTCCTTTTGCAATCCTTTCGGTATCATGGATGGACTCAAGTGAACAACCTCTGACCTGTCTCAGCAATGTTCATTTAGTAGTCCTTGTTCCCCATTTCACTGCCTGCTTTGTGATTCTCTGGTCATATCATCATCATCTCAGCTTCCACGTACACTTATAAACATCATAGGAAGGAACAGTTTGCTCTTTAGCGTTCATTAGGAAGAATTTGGAAGCAACAGAGATGTGGTTTCTGAGACGAATGTTCCAATTATCTTGCAATGGCCAGAGTAACTAACAACGATTGCTTGGAAGAAGCTAATGAAAGTAGAATATATACAACAAAAAGAAAGAAACAAACACTGTTCTTTGGTCACATAATGAGAAGAGAGACATTGGAGAACATCATGACAACTGGAAAGATCAGTGGAAAAACCGGTAGAGGCAGACCAAGAGAGATGATGCTGGATGGGCTGAAACGATGGCATGGACGGATGTCATCAGGAGAGCTGTTCCAGGCAACCAGGGATCATGATCTGTGGAGACGCATGAGAGCCTATGCCAGTTGGCAGGGCACATGATAATGATGATGATGGGTAGCACTGACCATTGTCATTTCATATCGATGTACATTGTCATTAATGTCATCAGTTCATCGGGTATCTGGGTGCCCTCTTGCCCTCTCACGTAATATTTGTTTAGGTGCCTTGCATTTGTTGGTAGTTGTTGCAGGCGCATTCTACTGAGGTGATTTAAAAAATATATTTATAGGGCACTTCTGTACTTTGTCCATAAAAGGACAAATGGTATTTTGTGTTGTGTTTTACAGCTAGACTGGTATCCGCACCTTTCATCCCAACTGTCTGATTTTACTGACCAAATATAGCCTTTAGGGGACAGTGAGTCTGTCTCTCCCCCAAATATGAGACTCTGGAACCAACCCACACAGGAAATATTCATAGGGTACAGTGCAGCCCCTATGGAACCAGGGAAGGTTGGTTGACTTTTATCATCAGGATATGGAATTTTAACTCTAAATCCAGTGCAATTTGCATACAGGCTATTGAAGCCTGGATGAGGACTTGCATTTTTTTTGAATAAGTTGATCACCCCCAGCACAGCTGGCATAAAATGCTAGACTCAGGTAGTCGACATCTGCCACTTGTACCTCCCAGGATAGTTCCTGGTACCCATTCTAAGCTCTGTTTGCCTGGGAGCACAGGTCATTTATTCACTTTCCCTATGTATATTCTAGCACCACCAAGCTAGATAAAGTAAAAGTGTTTAAATCATAAATTATTTCCCAAGGCAGCTTATGGATGTGAATCATGAAAATTGAAAGTAGAAAGACACTGACATTCTACATGAGCTGAGCATCAAGGAGAATTGGCTGAAACAGCATCCTATCCAGAAAGCTAAGCTGTCTTGGCCATGTTAAGAAAAAGAAACGCCTCAAGAGAATGGTGATGCAGGGTACGGATGAGGCAGACCTCTGTGAAGTGGATAGAGGACATTGCAGATGCATTGGCTGTAAAAGCACATGGGGCTGGAGAAAAGTCTGCCTCGAGCGACGCTCTATTAAAGACCTATTGATGAGGAATTGGCTGATAAACAGCATCCTATCCAGAAAGCTGAGCTGTCTTGGCCATGTAAAAAAAAAAAAATCGCCTCAAGAGAATGGTGATGCAGGGCACAGACAAGGCAGACCTCTGTGAAGTGGATAGAGGACATTGCAGATGCATTGGCTGTGAAAGCACATAGGGCTGGAGAATAGTTTGCCTAGAGTGACGCTCTATTAAAGACCTGCTGATTTATGATGATGATATATATTCTGTATGATTTTATTCAGACAATATTTTCAAAAACTGCTTGCAGATATCACTCATCGACTGAGTAAATGCTGCGGCAAGAACATCACTCTGCGCAACAACTGCTGGGGAGCCAGTAGGACTCAGGGTTTTAACCATGGCATTGTGTTCAGTTCAGAACCTTTGAAATATGACGAGATCTTTGAGGTGGGTAATGTTTGTATTTTCTTAACTAAATTGACATTATGCATTATCAAAGCAATGTTTACCCATTGTAAATTTGAACAGAGAAGACACAAACAATAGATTGCACAATTTATTCAACAATAATCAAACATGACTGTCTGTTTTTACCAGGGCAGCTGTAAAGTCAGAACCATATCTTATGCATTATGAGTTAAGAACTCATGTTATAGCACTCATGACATTCCAGTAAGTGCTTCATCCTGACCTTCAGCAGCAAGCAAAGACTTCCACTTTCCATGGTACCAGTAACATTCTGGCTTTATGTCCGTCTCGCCCTTCCACTGAGTGCAGAGGGCCGGCCAGATCTTCTGGTAACTCCTCGCTGCACCATTCATTTTAGACCTCGATGACCTGTTTGTGCCTCTGCACTGTTTACTCGCTCCCAAAGGGCCATTACAACATCTATCTTGTGATGCATCCTTTTCTCACCAAATGGTGCAGAACCAGTCAGTCTGTCTGCCTGTTCATTTCCCAACACACTGGCATACAGTGTAGAAAATATCCAAAAGACGTTATCTACCTGGGACCTCTGAAGCGATGCTTGCCACCACGTATGTAGCATATCTATTCTGCCTTTAGCAGCATGCTGTGGGAGTCGGTTACAATCGTGACCTGGGTGTATTGAAATTGGAAATGTCATTGGTGTATATCAATGAGATGCAGAGATGTTGAACCAAATGTGGTGGTGCCCAGTGCCAGGGCACACTCTGGTGAAAAACTACTTACACCTCTCCACAATCATCATAGAAAAAAAAAAGGTTTCCAAATGGGATCCTGGCAACCCTAAATAGGATCAACATTTCCTTCATAGTCAGAGTGAATCTGCCTGAGAGGTGAGGAACCATATCTGCATAGAAATAAGCATGCAGAACTGAAGTTCTTAAACAACACCAAAGTTCAGCAGTGGACAAACAATTAGGACTTACAGCCGTTCGACACAAAAAAGACAAAGTAGATATCTGTAAGTCAACAATAGTGAAGTTTGTTAAAAACAGAAGAAGGTTTGCTGTAGCAATGCAAGTGTTAAGGAGAATTGGGCAAAGAACCAGCACTCTGCGCACAGATAAACAATATGAACGATAGCACAGTCCCTTTTTTTCTGGTCATGGCAAATTTTTTTTACTTTAGACTGATGGTGTCTGTTGCATTTTCCTCCATTTTTAGACTGAAGGGATATAGTTTGTTGCCCAGCTACACTGTGAGCTACGGATTTCATTTGAAATGTTTTTTGACTAACCAACGTGGTGTTGTGAACTGTAGAGTCAGAAAAGGGCGCGTGGCTTGTTGCCTCAAAATTGGTAGTGCCTTATGTAAATAATATTGATTGCATGTGCAACTGCTGATCTGTTGTAACTGCTGCTTTCCTTGATGATGAACTGCAATTCTAATGTCAGACTGTTTTTGTTAGCCTTTCTGATAGCTGCTTTATGTTTTTAATGCATGTTTTCCCTAGTGGATATGCTGAAACTGCAGTGTGTGTTAATTTTTCCACAAGGGACAGTGATAGACATTCTGTATATTTTTGGTTGACACAGGAGAGGAGCAACTATGGGTTGACCTGTTTGCTATGAAGCGGAAACTAAGATTTTACCAGATAGGCAAGATCCATAAAATAGAGGTCAGAAGCAGACTGGCTGTAGCAGTGCAAGGGTTATGCAGGCTTTGAGCGAGCATTAAAAGCTGGGAGCACATCTCCAGCAAACTTATTGAAGTTCAGTTCGTGGCAATATGTATCTTTCCCATGATATCATTTGCACGGATCTGTATTATTTCCCTCTGCACTGCTACTTCAAGGTTTGATGCCCGGAGACTACAAAAGTCTCAATCCAGATAGTAGACCAACAGTGCAAATGCCAGATACCCCTTTCAACCTCAGAAGAAGCTTATCATTTGATACCTGTAATGGCTACACCAGGTTGACCTGCAGGCCTGTGCCTAGTAAGGGTTGTAAGACATAACACTGAAAAGGGTCAGGAATCTTGCCAGTTTATTGCCATGAGTGTGATATTCTTCACAGGACTTACTTCTTTTTCTTCTTAAAAGTCCATGGCGTTGGTAGTCATGTCTATCCACAAACTTTTGTCTCATGTACTTTCAGTCAGCTCTGACACAGATGGTCTTCCATAGTCAATGCTGTGTGGTGTTGGTAGTCATGTTTATCCACAACCTTCAGTCTCTTGTCCTTTTAGTCAGCTCTGACACAGATGATCCTCCATGCCATGATGTCTAACAGTCTAGCATCGTATCTCTCGCTCTCCCTCTGTCTCTCCTCCGCTCTAACTTCCTACCATCATGATGTACTCCAGTTAATCCTTCTCATCACATGAGTAAAGAATGTAGTTTGTCTCTTTTTGATGTGGGCATCTAGTTCTCTTTTTGAGTTGGTTTTTTTCAAGACATCCTTATTACTGTTTTTATCTGTCCAAGGTATTCTCATCATTCCTCTATAAAACCACATCTCCACAGCTTCCAAGGACTTACTACATGATTAAAATGTGTTTTGTTAGATACCTCTTGCCTTAAGTATGAAAAAATAAAAATAATATCTTTGTCTGAAAGATGGAGGTCAGTGAGGTGTCCGATCAGTGGTCAGGCTCCTTGAAGATTGGCCTGACAACTATGGCCATCTCAGACTCCAGCTCCTCAATCAGTATTCCTTCAACAGCAGATGAAATTGTCTCCAGGGTCACTTGGATTGTCTCAGGGTCAGAGGTGAAGAAGTCTGGTGTTGTCATCAAGGACAACTACTCCCCATCTTTGCAGAGGCTTCAGGTAGTATTTGGTTTTTTTTTTTGGCTGTCATTTCTTCTGCATCTTAGGTGTTCACCGGCTGTAAAATCTTGCAGAAATTGTTGATTTGGTTCCAGAACTTGAGTTTTGCGTGCACATCCATTTCACAGTTTGGCTTATTTGTGTTCAGACTGTTGGTTGCTTGCCTCTCACCCAGATGGAATCAGACTTTGAAGGAAACCCCTCATACGACATACTGTTTATTCTCCAAAACAGAGCCTCTGAACCCATATGGGGAACATGGAGAAAAATTTTGATTTCTTCCTCTACAAAGGGGTGTATTTTTTTTTTAATCTTCTGTCTTGGAGAAGTCTTTGTGGCTAAGTGGTTGAGCAGTTTGTCTCATGCTCTGAAGGTCATGGGATCATTTCACAGTTTGTTAATTCGTGAGTGCAGTTTTTACAGAGATGCCTGGGGATTTTTCACTGAAACTACCAGATGTATGCTATTTGCAACACTCTGCAAACAGCATAGCATTCTTCGGTGGAGAGAGACTAAGCTCTATCAGATTAAACCCAAACTTTGGGGCCAGAGTTTATGGCCGGGGAAGGCAGGAAATAAGATGTCTGAAAAAGACTGTAGGAGTGACCAGAAGAGATGAAATCAGGAATGAGGTCATATGAGATAAAGTCAGCACAGAACCAATTCTGAATTACATACAAAGACAGCAAATCAAATGGTTTGACCACTAGGAGAGAATGCCTTCTGATGCTATACCATACGAAGTAAATATCAAAAGAGGAGAGGGACATAGAGCAAGAGGTAGACAGAGCAAGATGTAGACCAAGAACAAGATGGGAAGATAACATCAGAGAACTCCACAGCACCACAGAAGGGCATAAAGTAGGACCTTATATCTCCCTCGACACCCAAAGCAGTAACAGAGGACGCGAAGAAGAAGAAGGCAAGAAAAAGAGGAAGATTAAACTTGCTGCAAAGAAGACTTATTGGAGCAACACCAATAGCTTAATTTTTTGAAAAATTAAAATTGAAATGGTTTGGTAATGATGCCGGCAACAAGAGCATGCAGTATGAAAGTAGAAACACCATGAGGTAAGAGATGACCAGGAAGAAGATAGACTGAAGCTGTCACTGATACCTTGAGACTCCACAGCATACAGAACAACCAAGTGAGCCCTAGCTTGGATATTATATTCATCATGTGTTAACCTGAGACGTTATGGACAAAAGAGAAACGAAGCAATGAAGACTTTGAACATAAACCCTTCTTTGCTCAGTTTGTTTTTTGAGTCCATATGTACAAAGTGTTTGATTTCTTTCTATGTGAATGTTTCCATCAGTAACATTCCATTTCACGACCTCCTTCTTGCAGGTTGGCGACAGGATTGGTGTCTGCCGGTACTCTGATGGCACCATGCATGTTCTGCTCAATGGAGATGATCTAGGAGAGGCTGCCAGTGGTATTCCCAAGGTACGATGGTGTTCCCGGGTTCTTCTCATGGTTAACTCATAGAGATTTGCATAAACCTCCACTTCTCCTTCTTTAGTATTCAACATCAGACACTCTTCTAAACATTCAGCCCTGTCTGGGTCACACAAAAAAGAACTATGTCCTAGGTCGCAACCGGTCCTCTAGAGCAGTTTCTTTTTTTTTTTTAATCGATCACCGGCTGTGAATTCCAGTGGAAGGTCCCGGTTAATCGTCCGCTTGGACTTTTGGCTTTCACCTGGACCTGATTTTTGCGTGTACAACCGTTTTTGATTTCCCTGCCTCGTGGGCAGCTGTACTCCGACTTCGAAGGAGGATGTCAGGCCTATTTCTAGGTTGACTGTGGCCATTGTTTTGTGTGGGTCGAGACGTTGCCTGATTTGTGTGGTGTCCACTTTGTCTCCTTCGCCGCAAGTATTGCCCTCGGAGTACCCCTTTGGGGCAGCCCCCTGTGGAACAGTTAGCCCTCAAGGGAAGGCAGGGGCAGATCATGGACATTCCCACGCCATCCAAGGGGCTTCCATGCATGCAGAGCCGCGGCACATGGCGCTCTGGTTCTGGGCTCACCCAAGTCATCACGTCCTGCACATGCCTGCTTAACCTCACAACCGTATCAGGCCTCCCGCTCAACCAGGGCTTCTGGAAGTCAGCGGGGAGCAGGCCCGTGGGTTTTGTTACTTTTGTGACCGCCACAGATAGGTACATTCTTTTTTTTTCCTCGCATGTTAGATTTCTTTGACTAGCCGTTAGCCCGACAGAATTTTAACATCCTGCATCAGCATATCGTTATCAGTTTTGTCCCAACACTCGGGCGAGTGGGGTCTTTGGGTGTGGACATTCGGTTTTTTCAGTTCAATACAAATTTTGATGGTCAGATTTTGATCCGTATGATCTAGTTTTGTCGGACAATTAGGCTTAAACCATTGGTTGGTTGCCGTTGTGGTGTATTGACTACGACACTTTAACCCAGAGAGGATTTACATGAATGGCCAGCCTATGGATGGTTGCTGTTGTGGTGGACCCTCAGCGCGGTGAGACGACACTGAGGGTTAACCGAGGATACAAGGATGGCCAGCCTATGGATGGTTGTGTTGTGGTGTACCTCAGCGCGGTGACGACGACACTGAGGGTTAACAGAGGATGTGCAGTGAACAATGTTCTCTTTACTCCGCAGTCTTTTAACCAAGGGTTGTAATTTTGGCTGTACGTTTGGCAAACCTACTCATGTTTCCTAATGAGTTTTTGATAACATTTTTCACCCAAGCGTTTGGGGGCGGGCTGATGAGAGCCACAAGGACACACATCACCTCTCTGGGGGGCCGCTCCGAGATCCCCTGACAGCTCTGTTAATGCTCATTTGAGACATTATCCGTGGCACACGACGAGGACGTGCTGTAGGGATCTTGCGTGAGGTTCTGTACAACCAGGATAGTAAAGGACTGGGCGCCCCGACAGTGACGTACGGAGTTTAACTTCCCCTCACGCCTGTGACATAAATCACCGCGCCACTCTAGAGCAATGTTTCTCAAACTTTGTTTGCCGTGTCACCCTTGTCAGGCAAAAAAAATTTCGCGGCACACCTGCCCTAAAGCCATTTTTTTATACTTAGGAAAAGAAGAACAATAGTGCAAATTTAATGTTCATTTGTTTTTAATGTGATGAGTGAAACTGGACTAATTTTTCATTATTTTCCTTATGTTTATAGAAAGTTTAGTTAATTGTATCCCAAAATCACTTGAAAGTTGCTCCTGTATCTTTTTTTTAAAATGTAAGCATACGTTGAGAATGCATTGCAGTTTTGTCAATAGCATTGTTTTCTGAATACACCTGTATCCAGAACTCTTCTTGGCTTCCTTCACGATATTTATGTTTTAAACTGCTGTCTTCGCTGATCTCAAGCAGATTGATTATTGCCGCAGCACCCCTGCATACGCTCACCGCACCTCTGGACCCACCCCCTGGCCACCAAGTTTGAGAACCGCTGTTCTATGGCTTGTCTTGTAATGTAGCTTCATTGGACCAGAACCCCAACCTCTGTTTGGAGTAGTAGGACAGTTTTGCAGTACATGCACAGAACTAATACTGAAAGTTTTCAGCAGACAGCAGATCAAATGGTTTAGCCATGTAACAAGTTAGGCAGTAGACACGACACCACGGAGACCAGGATTATACAGATGCAGCAGTTAAAAAAACCAGAGATCTGCCATGCAAAAAGTAGGACCATGGAAATAGCGGAGAGACTGAAAAGTACTTTTACAAAGAGAGCAGAAGGGTCTGTTCCAGAGGTCTCATCTAACCTGATGCTGTTGGCAGTCCAGCAGAGAAAAGTAGAAACAGCTGAGGAGCTTCCCAGTTGTTTTGCAGTGTTCTTCGTCTTCTTCACCTTCACCATCTGTAAACTTCAGCGGAAAGTTCTGGCTGTTCGTCCACCTCTAGACTTTAGTCTTGTTCCAGAACTTGACTTTTGCGTGCACATCCCATCTAAAGATCTGGCTTATTTGTATGCAGACTGTTGGTTCCTTGCCTCTCAGGCAGATGCACTCCAACTTCAAAGGAAAGCCCCCCAGTTAGTCAACTCTTACAATATCTTTTTTTGGGGAGGCTGTGGGTCTATTCTTGTTTTCCCACAATGGGGTCCTGAAACCCACATGGGGATTTTATCCTTCACTCTTTCTGTGTATCGGCTGGCTTGTGTTATTGTTTTGCAGTATGTGTTTTCTGTGATAGACCTCTACGGGGCTGTGTATCGGCTGGCTTGTGTTATGGTTTTGCAGTATGTGTTTGCTGTGATAGACCTCTACGGGGCTGTGTATCGGCTGGCTTGTGTTATTGTTTTGCAGAATGTGTTTGCTGTGATAGACCTCTATGGGACTGTATATCGGCTGGCTTGTGTTATTGTTTTGCAGAATGTGTGTGCTGTGATAGATCTCTATGGCGCTATGTATTGACTGGCTTGTGTTATTGTATTGCAGAATGTGTTTGCTGTGATAGATCTCGATGGGGCTGTATATTGACTGGCTTGTGTTATTGTATTGCAGAATGTGTTTGCTGTGATAGATCTCGACGGGGCAGTATATTGACTGGCTTGTGTTATTGTATTGCAGAATGTGTTTGCTGTGATAGATCTCGACGGGGCAGTGTATCGACTGGCTTGTGTTATTGTATTGAAGAATGTGTTTGCTGTGATAGATCTCGACGGGGCTGTATATTGACTGGCTCGTGTTATTGTATTGCAGAATGTGTTTGCTGTGATAGATCACTACAGGGCTGTGTATTGACTGGCTTGTGTTATTGTATTGCAGAATGTGTTTGCTGTGATAGATCTCGACGGGGCAGTATATTGACTGGCTTGTGTTATTGTATTGCAGAATATGTTTGCTGTGATAGATCTCGACGGGGCTGTGTATTGACTGGCTTGTGTTATTGTATTGCAGAATGTGTTTGCTGTGATAGATCTCGACGGGGCAGTGTATTGACTGGCTTGTGTTATTGTATTGCAGAATGTGTTTGCTGTGATAGACCTCTATGGAGCTGTGGAAGGTATTGTTGTTACAAGCAGTCCTAGTATTGAGATGTCCAGTATCGTTCTGTCCCCTGCATATGAAGTGGAGCCAGCGACGCAGGTAATGAGTGCTAAGTAACTATTACTTGTGTCATTGTTTCTTTTTCTTCTTCATCGTCATCTTCTTCTTCTTCTTTTCTTCTTCTTCTTCTTCTTCTTCTTCTTCTTCTTCTTCTTCTTCTTCTTCTTCTTCTTCTTCTTCTTCTCTTCTTCTTCTTCTTCTTCTTCTTCTTGCTTCTTCTTCTTCTTGCTGCTTCTTTTTCTTCTTCTTCTTTCTTCTTCTCTTCTTCTTCTTTCTTCTTCTTCTTTTTCTTCTTCTTCTTTCTTCTTCTTCTTCTTCTTCTTCTTCTTCTTCTTTTTCTTCTTCTTCTCTTCTTCTTCTTCTTCTTCTTCTTCTTCTTCTTCTTCTTCTTCTTCTTATTCTTCTTCTTCTTCTTTTTCTGCTTTCACAGAAAAGGGTGGTTGGCATATTGCGGTTCACAGCTTGGCTGTGGTATCTGTACCATTCTGCACAAGACATCTGATTTTAGCAAGCCCCTAATACCTAATACTCGTCTTTTATGATGATATAGTAGGTCTGTTTCCCCCCGCGACCCACTGCCCCCTCTTCCACATCCACACATACTTGCACAGCACACACACAGACACCACACACACACCACATACAGATCACACCACACAACACACACACACACATGCACACCACAGATTCTGGGGCTCCCAAAACTGACCCAGGGATCATCATTGGTTTTTTCTTGTAATACCCGTTGAAGTGTATAATCACATTATGGTATGGAGTTCTTGCAAAGTTACAGGTCATGTGAGATCAAAAATAAAATAACCAGATAAAAATGTTATAACTCAGTTACAATAGTGTATACCTAGTAATTATTGCCTGGCTCATCAGAGGGCAAAAACAGAAGATGGAAAATTAAATAAAGCAATCCCCCTTGTGGTTTCTGGGGCCCCATTTTGTGGGGGAAAAGAACAGACTCACTCCCCCCTAACAAGCATGTTGTAAGCGGTGATTAATTAAGAGTGTTTTTCTTCGGATTGTATCTGCCTGAGAGACAACAGTTTGCATACAGATTTTTCAGATCTGTAAAACGGATGAGCACAAGACCAGAGTCTAGAAGTGGAGAAACAATAAGAACCTTCTACAAGATTTTACTGCCAGTCAGTGCTAGTGAAGAGAATTAATCAAGTAACAGAAAGTGTATTGATCGGCACTCATTGAAAGAAGTAGAAAGATAGAAGAACACACTAGACAACATAAAAATCGAAGGCTATAGTTACCGTGCCGGGAATTGAACCTGTCACCTCCAGACGGCGTGTGCAGGCGCCTCGCCGTGGATACAAGTGCACTAAGAACATGGTCAACCAGGCACCCCCTTATTTATAGTGAAGGGAAGAAAGGTGGTGAAAACATTAAGGATACTTTTCATGCCATTGGTACATCCTATATTTTGAGCTAGATCCATATCCTCTGGATCCTCATTGGATAATGAAATCTTCACAAAGGCCATCTTTACCTCCCATGATATTTCTGAAACAAGTTTTTGGCTGGGTTGACCTCATTATACAAATTGCATCACTGCAGATTCGAACCAAAGATTCTGCAACTCCTTGTTCTCTCTTTTTTTAAATGGTTCTTTGAAAATGTGTAAGCTCTGTGGCTAAGTCGATGCCAACACTTCGTAATGCCGGGATGCTGGGTTCGATCCCAGCTGCGTTGGTTTCGACAGTGGTATCAAGAAAGCCGACCGTCCAGAAAGCAATGGCAAACTACTGGATGTAAATTTGCCTAGAAAAACCACACAACAGCCAGGGGCTGTTGGGGTTGGTTCTGCAAAATCCTGTAAAGGAGACGCAACTAACCACCACTTTGAAAATATAGTTTGTTCACTCATGTCTGTCTTACGCACCAGGATCGGGACCAGGACAGTGACACTTCAGCACACCTGTCCACCTGTTTCCATAGCAACCACGGTAAGAACATCCTTCTGCGGGACGGTGGCCAGCAGGCGGAGAGACTTGCCAGCTACAATCAGGGTCTGGTGGTTGGGAATAAGCCACTGAAGAGAAGGAAACTTTTCCAGGTAATGCAAGTCTGTGTCTGTCTCTTTGGCACTCTTGTTCTGTTTCTGTCTGTATATCTTTATGAGAATCTGTTACTTAGTCTGTCATTCTGTTGGAAATACTTACTATGCTATCTGGATTTGCCTGTGATCCTATGCTTTAATTAATGTCCTGTTTACTATAAGGCAGTGTCTGCCTTAATTAATGTCCTGTTTGCTGTAAAGCAGTGTCTACCTTGATTAATGTCCTGCTTATTATAACGCAGTATCTGCCTTGATTAACGTCATGTTTACTGCAAAGCAGTGTCTACCTTGATTAATGTCCTGTTTACTGTAAAGCAGTGTCTACCGTGATTAATGTCCTGCTTACTATAAAGCAGTATCTTCCTTGATTAATGTCATGTTTACTGTAAAGCAGTGTCTACCTTGATTAATGTCCTGCTTACTATAAAGCAGTATCTGCCTTGATTAATGTCTTGTTTACTGTAAAGCAGTGTCTACCTTGATTAATGTCCTGCTTACTATAAAGCAGTATCTGCCTTGATTAATGTCATGTTTACTGTAAAGCAGTGTCTACCTTGATTAATGTCCTGCTTACTATAAAGCAGTATCTGCCTTGATTTAATGTCATGTTTACTGTAAAGCAGTGTCTACCTTGAATAATGTCCTGCTTACTATAAAGCAGTATCTGCATTGATTAATGTCCTGTTTACTGAAAAGCAGTGTCTACCTTGATTAATGTCCTGCTTACTATAAAGCAGTATCTGCCTTGATTAATGTCATGTTTACTATAAAGCAGTGTCTACCTTGATTAATGTCATGTTTACTATAAAGCAGTATCTGCCTTGATTAATGTCATGTTTACTGTAAAGCAGTGTCTACCTTGATTAATGTCATGTTTTCTATAAAGCAGTATCTGCCTTGATTAATGTCATGTTTACTGTGAAGCAGTGTCTGCCTTGATTAATGTCATGTTTACTGTAAAGCAGTGTCTACCTTGATTAATGTCATGTTTACTATAAAGCAGTGTCTACCTTGATTAATGTCATGTTTACTATAAAGCAGTGTCTACCTTGATTAATGTCATGTTTACTATAAAGCAGTGTCTACCTTGATTAATGTCATGTTTACTATAAAGCAGTGTCTGCCTTGATTAATGTCCTGCTTACTATAAAGCAGTATCTGCCTTGATTAATGTCATGTTTACTATAAAGCAGTGTCTACCTTGATTAATGTCCTGCTCACTTTAAAGCAGTATCTGCCTTGATTAATGTCCTGTTTACTGTAAAGCAGTGTCTGCCTTGATTAATGTTCTGCTTACTATAAAGCAGTATCTGCCTTGATTAATGTCCTGTTTACTGTAAAGCAGTGTCTACCTTGATTAATGTCCTGCTTACTATAAAGCAGTATCTGCCTTGATTAATGTCCTGCTTACTATAAAGCAGTATCTGCCTTGATTAATGTCCTGCTTACTATAAAGCAGTATCTGCCTTGATTAATATCCTGCTTACTATAAAGCAGTATCTGCCTTGATTAATGTTATATTTACAAGTTCATCATGGTCGGTGCATTATTTACTGATTATAAAAAAATAATTCAGGTCGAATTGATCAATGTCCTGTTTACTATAAAGCAATGTCTGCCTTGATCAATGTCCTGTTTACCATAAAGCAATGTCTGCCTTGATCAATGTCCTGTTTACTATAAAGCAATGTCTGCCTTGATCAATGTCCTGTTTACTATAAAGCAGTGTCTGCCTTGATTAATGTCCTGTTTATGATAAAGCAATGTCTGCCTTGATCAATGTCCTGTTTACTATAAAGCAATGTCTGCCTTGATCAATGTCCTATTTACGATAAAGCTGTGTCTGCCTTGATCAATGTCCTGTTTACTATAAAGCAGTGTCTGCGTTGATTAATGTCCTGTTTACTGTAAAGTAGTATCTGCCCTAGTAATGAGTAATGAGGCATGAGTAATTACCTGTCAACTATACAGCATCAGCTGTGAGGTTTGACAGGCTCTAGTCAGAACTGTCGACCTGTGCTGTGTAACTACACTCATGGTACCTTAAAACTTATTGTCTACCAACTTTCTCAGGTTCGACTGGGAAGGCTAAATCCACGCTGGAGCTCATCTCTGATGATCGGAGTGATAGGATTTCCGGTTGACAAATACACATTCCCAGTGTCTGCCATGGCCATTAAGAAAGCATGTATTGTCATTCAGAGCGAGTCCGTTTTTGTGTCAGGCTATAAGGTAGGTTGATTATATTTGTGTGTGTCTGTCACAGTCTGTATTAACTCCTTGAGTACCAAAAGGTTTTACCGGACATGCTCATGATCACAGTCTGTATTAACTCCTTGAGTACCAAAAGGTTTCACCCGAGATGCTCATGTGTATTTTTTTTAAATTATTTTTTTTATAAGCCATAAAAAAAACCATGAATGTATTGCTTTCAAAAAGGCTAAATACTGTGGAAGCCAGATTTCTTAGTATGCTGGGACCAGCTATGAAAAGGACTAGAACAAATTACATGTTGGGTAGGATTAAGAGAAGTGCTCATCAAACATCACAGATTGTTTGCGAATGAACAAGTTAAACAGTATTTCTTTTCCTGTTGTGTGTTTTGACTGGAATGAACAGATTAACCAGTGGATTTTATTATTTAAAGCGTCACTAATTGGGCTTCCTGGCTAGTCTCATATTTGGCCCTTTCAGACACTCATCTTTCACACAGCAGTTGTATTTGATCTACAAATCATGTGATATTCTATAACAAATATACAAAATATAAATAGGAAGTAAAAGCAGAAGAGCATGGATGGTAAATATATACTTTCACATATACATACAAGATGTCTCTCTCTCTCTCTGTGTCTCTTGTAGGTGTTGTATATGTGTATATATATATATATGTGTGTGTGTTGTGTGTGTGTGTGTGTGTGTGTGTGTGTATCGTGCGTATATATATATATATATATATATGCGTATATATATATATATATATATATATGCGTATATATATATATATATATATATATATATATATGTACGTGCGTGCGTGCATTGCGTTGCACACATGCATACATACACACACTGTCATATATACACTCACCTACATTGACATGTGAACACACACACACACATATATATTCCACTCTCATACATACACTTACATAATGTACATAATGTGGCACAAAGAATAGAAACAGTCACCTACCATTGATGTTACAATATCGTCTGAGCACAGATTTCATACCTCCAGAGAAGATAAAAAATATTTTAGAAATAGCGCACATTTCCCCTAGATCTATTACAACTACTATAGTTTACTGTAGTTAGAAATTTGCACATTTCAGTGCTAGTATTAAATATGAAAATGCTGTTGATAATGTTTACTATTACGCAATGCATGAATAAAATGATATAAGGAGGGAGACTAGAAGGGCGGAATGTTAGACGGGCCTGCATGCCCAATTCTTAACCCTTTGAAAATAAAGTTTGTTTGTTTGTTATATCTAAGTTCATCACAGCAAACACATTCTGCAATACAATAACACAATCGACGTCACAGTCTTCAGCACAAGCCATTATTAGCTCAGACCCAAACATTTGTTGGTTAGGTAGCAACTTTTCAAGTATTTGTATCTTGTGTTCTCCTCACTCCCCATAGGTCAAGGACTACTATAGCCCAAACATTTGTTGGTTAGGTAGCAACTTTTCAAGGGTTTGTATCTTGTGTTCTCCTCACTCGCCCATAGGTCAAGGACCATTATGGTTCAAACATTTGTTGGTTAGGTAGCAACGTTTCAAGGGTTTGTATCTTGTGTTCTCCTCACTCGCCCATAGGTCAAGGACCATTATGGCCCAACCATTTGTTAGTTAGGTAGCAACTTTTCAAGGGTTTGTATATTGTGTTCTCCTCACTCGCCCATAGGTCAAGGACTATTATGGTTCAAACATTTGTTGGTTAGGTAGCAACGTTTCAAGGGTTTGTATCTTGTGTTCTCCTCACTCGCCCATAGGTCAAGGACTATTATGGCCCAACCATTTGTTGGTTAGGTAGCAACTTTTCAAGTGTTTGTATCTTGTGTTCTCCTCACTTGCCCATAGGTCAAGGACCATTATGGCCCAAACATTTGTTGGTTAGGTAGCAACTTTTCAGATATTTTTATCTTGTGTTCTCCTCACTCGCCCATAGGTCAAGGATCATTATGGCCCAAACATTTGTTGGTTAGGTAGCAACTTTTCAAGTGTTTGTATCTTGTGTTCTCCCCACTCGTCCATAGGTCAAGGACCATTATGGCCCAAACATTTGTTGGTTGGGTAAACAACCGTTCAGATCATGTTTATCTTGGTTCTTGCCACTCGCCTGTTAGGTCAAGGGATCGATTATGGCCCAGCATTTAGAGATGTGCCCCATAGCAACTTGGTGGAAGTGTACGGTCAGTGTGATCAGGTGAGCCCCACTCGTCCATAGGTCAAGGACCATTATGGCCCAAACCTGGACACCCTTGGAGAAAACAGCCGTGTGGGTGTCAGTGTGGATGAGGATTCTTGCCTTCATCTGTTGGTGAACGGGATCGATTACGGGGTAGCAGCTAGAGATGTGCCCCATCCCTGCTGGCCATTGGTGGATGTGTACGGTCAGTGTGAACAGGTGAGCATACTTCTGTAAGGACCTTACATTGTGGTGTTGGCCATCATCTCTGTCTACAGCCCTCTGTCACCTTTCATGGTCATCACCATTGTGGTGTTGGCCATCATCTCTGTCTACAGCCCTCTGTCACCTGTCATGGTCATCACCATTGTGGTGTTGGCCATCATCTCTGTCTACAGCCCTCTGTCACATGTCATGGTCATCACCATTGTGGTGTTGGCCATTATCCTGTGTCTACAGCCCTCTGTCACCTATCATGGTCATCACCATTGTCATGTGCCAGATCGATAAGATTAGGCATTCTTAGACCATTTCATGTGATCACTAGGATCTAGAGGAGCAGCTGGCTGAACAGTTTGGAATGTAGGGCTCTCATGAAGAAGACCCTGGTTCAAGTCTACAGCTCCCCATGTGGGTTCTGGGGCCCTGTTATAGGAAAAACAAGAACAGACCCACTGCCTACCCAAAAGCATGTCGCAAGAATCGACTAATTGGGAGCTTCCTTCAAAGTTGAAGTGCATCTGCCTGAGAGGCAAGGAACCAACAGTCTGCACACAAGTGAGTCAGATCTGTAAAATGGATGCACATCCAGCACACAAGTTCTGGAACAGGACTGCAGTCAGAAGTGGATGAAAAACCAGAGTTTACAGCTGGTGAATGCGAAGAAGAAGAAGAAAAGAAGAAGAAATCTACAGCAAGGTTGGGGATTTTTTTAACAGGGGCAGAAATAAAATTCTAACCTCTGCACAGTGCATGGCGACAGAACTAGCCATGCAGTGCTAAATCCTCAGGCTCAAATACCCCCCTGCCTACACCACAAAAAATGGTAAATACAGGTAGTAGTGGCAGATTTAGTTGAAGTATTCTGGCCATATCAAACGTCATGGTGGCTTGGAAAAGACGGTGCAGTTTGTGAAAGGTGAGGCAGGGGTTGACCTCCGCGAAGATGAATGCAGGACACTGAAGATGCATTGGAAATTAAAGCACATGGGGCTGGAGAGCTGGCTAGGGAGAAGGAATACTTTCAGGTGTGCTGCGGAGAGAGCTACGTTCTGTAAAGGACTTGCTGATTGACGATGAAATGGCTGTTTTATCAGGATCAGGTCAGGTTCTTGTCTGTCCTTATTATGCATATGGCTGGGACTGACCTGGTAGCCAAGATTAATTTTGGAAAGAGAAAAAATCTGCCTGCAAGTGGATTTGAGGCGTAGACATTTTGGCCAACAGTCGAGCGCCTAGTCATTACAGTGTCGCTGTAAAGAGGATGTGGATCCCCTGGACCCTGCAGCCCACAGTTTGGGAATCACTGCTCTATGGGATTAGATGGTAAATATAACTGATACAGAATCCATACACTGACAGACTAATTTTGTGTGTGTGTGTGTGGGGGGGGGGGGGGGGGTTGGAGTAGAGGTTCTGGAAGATATTCAACACTGAGGGGGAAGCATAGGCGGACTTGTAATCAGGCTGAAGCTGGTACTGTTAGCATGCTGACTCTTTGTTGGCTGCTGAAGAAGGGGATGGACCACAAGTGGGAATGTCCCTAGTGCAGTGATGTCAATTATGGATTCATTTGTTCATTCAATATGGACAGGAGATCACACTGCAGTAGAACATGGCCCATTCCTGTACTGTAGAGTGGTCATACCAATGTTGCTGAGCAACTTTGAAGACTTGTACTGTATGAGACACATTCTTGGTATATCATTTTTAGACCATGTCTTCAGCTAATTTCTGCTTAGAAGGTCAGGAATACCAGCAGTGTGGTTTCTACTGAAGAAAAGATGCTTGCTCTGGGTGGGACATGTCTCCCACAAGGAGAACACTTGTATTGCAAAGGATCTCTTGTAAGATGAACTGGAAATGGTGATCAAAATCACTGTGCTTGGATGTGTCAGTTGTTAGCCGTGATTGTAAAGACTCTTGGTTTCACACAGGTGACCATCCTTCCCGACGACTTTGAGACTTTGGCAGCTACAGGCATTAAAGAAGAGTTTGAGAAAGCAGATCTGGAAAACAGTATGTAATTGTTAGTTGTCTGTAAATGCTCACCTGGTTTTGTCTTGTCATAAGTCACAACACCTTCTCCCAGGTAACCTTCCAAGGAATAGTTAAGGATGGGTGAAGAAGAGGGGAGAGGAAGAATATATTTAGATCAGCTGCTTGTAAAACATATCCCATATTTTCACCGTTTTGGCCAGTTCTGGTTTCTTTTTTTCCATCTTCCATCAGAAAGCACTGTGTAGCTAGCAACATAACTGACCTGTTGAACTGTTTTGCCTTTACCGTATGTAAAGCAAATAGGAAAGCGGCGACCCTGGCTTAGGCGTTGTGAGTCCGGCTCGTAATTCCAACATACCGCGATCGAAATCCACTGCTGACTGCGTGGATTTTTATTGTGGTATGAGGCGTCCCAGGTTGACCCAGCCTAAAATAGGTACCATGATTTATGTCCTAGGGAAGTAAAGATGGCTGGCGTAATGCTGACCACATAACCCACTTAGTGCCAAATGGGCTGTAAAAATATGGGTGCTCTTTCCATATGCCGATGCGCTTA